TGATGGAGAAGATGACCTGCATTGTAGAGTTCATGTAGCAGCTGTTTCCTAGATTTCTCATACCGGTGTAGCCCGGGCCATAGAGGGGAGACAACTGACTGCCAGCTTCCTGTATGACGTCCCACTCCCCGACTTTCTGATTAATGTCAATCTCCAGCTCCATCATCGTCTTCTCCGTCTACAAGTCAGTCAATAAAAATATTAATACTTACTTTATACTCCAAAGAAAATACTGTAATTTATCCACCAAATAAAAGTAATAATTTTTCACAAAGTATATATACTTAGTATCAAAGATATATTTTCACTGTAAAAACATATCAAATATGCAGCAAAATCCGAGATTTTCCTTCCCTTCACAAAAAAGTAATGAGAAGAATATTCCTAGTTATAAGAACCAATAAATCATCTGTATATGGGCTTAAATTGACAATGTGACTCTAAATCATTCTTCAAATCCATGTTTACAATTTTAATCTCACAATCGACTAGCTATGATGTCTCAAAACCATTCAACTATGATTTCACAGACTACGACACTGCATTACGAAAAGTCAGCAGCATAAAGGAAAACAAATCAAATGTAATAAACAGAAAATTCAATATCTTGTACTTGGACATGGAATTTTTTTCACTGGTGAGCTTTGCAATTAGAAAATATATATTTTTAAAAAATCCCGTCACTGATCCAACTACAAAACATTAAATATCCATAAATCTTCATCAAACTTAGCTAAAAAAAACTTCAAAGGCAAATATGTGTACTGAGGAACAATCTCAGGACAGTACTTTTTATTTGCAGAACTTGTGTTTATGTTGTACTTTAGCAAAAATTAAAAAAAAAAATTACTTGACCATCTGAGTCTATATAAATACGGCAAGATGAAAAGAACATAACTCTTAAAAGAAGTAACCTTTTCTAAAGCTTTGATGTTGATTCCAAAATGAGCCAGATGTTTGTCCAGATAGGGGTCCAATACCATGTCATCTTCATCATAAGAGTATACATCTAGAATACGCATAAAAATTATCATAAATCAGACTTTCATTTCATTATTCATTGAATTTCATACTCTTGAATTTAAGTGAGTATAGGGGAGTGCATGAATAAGTGATCAAATTGGTTCATAAGTTGAGATTTTGTGAGATTATGAGTGCATGTCATATTGAACTTATCAATGAGTGATTGAGTTGATGGGTATTATTTGCGATTAGGCTAGTGATAATAATTGGCGTTTACAAACCAACTGTTATTTGCCTACACATAAGATTATGTATCTTAAAGAAGTAAATGAATCTGAAATCCCTTCTGAACAGGATAAGACCCCCACCTGCTCCCTCTGGAGTGATTGTTCCTAGTTTGACAGCGAGGGGATACCCTGTCTTCTGGTAGTAATCCACAGCATGGTTGTTGCCCCCACTGCCATCAAAAAATCTCCTTCCACACAAGATGGCACCATCTGTCAGGTTCAGCCAGAGGTTAGAGGTCAGGTCACACATCTCACACTTCCAGCCTGTAGGAGGAATCTTTTTACCATTGTCTAGCTGTTTCAGATTTGCAGCATGTCTGTCATACATAAAGGATAGCATTGTGTGTTAGGAAAAATTATTACATACATCATGTTCAAATGAGGTAATCACTGTAATTTGTGTGAAAAGACTTATTAAATAAGACTTATTTTCTTTTTACCGCTTATCAAAAGATATTTACATGCATAAATACATATACTCTAAAATGAAAACCAAAAGTACAAAGTTTTAGAACTGCTTCTAAACATCCCTACATTATAATATGATAAACGAGTCAGGTATAAAATTTGTGAGGCTATCTATCCTATTTACTTGGATACTTTTCTCTCCTCCCCCTCCCAAGTGTTGGACATGGCGGCTGCCTCGGCAGCCTTTAAGGGATCCTCAGCTGAGAGAATGGCTGCCACTGAGATCTGAGCTATATCAGGTAGTTCTGGGTTAGGCAGTGGAATCACGGTCCACTTGGGCAGCACTACAATCGAGTTCATCTCCTCAAATTCATACTGCTTCTCATCTGGATTAAAGCCTCCTTCTACACCTGAAAAAGAACTTTTTGTGTGAAAAAAACTTATAAAGCTAGAGGTATTTGTAAGTGAGCTTATAATAGCCTATTCCTACCACCACCTACCTTTCCCCCTTTTCTTTGAAGTTTCATATAAAATTTTCTTTAAAAAAAAAAAAGAAAAAGCTCAAACTTGCCAAAAAGACCATGGTTTAAAAGATAGGTAAAAAGTAATTTTTCATATAAAATTTTCATTACAAAGCTATGAAACATGTATATAAAATGACCTGCTGTCAACGCCATGACATACCCTCAATAATATTCCTTTGTTTACAAGTTATGAACTGCACATAAATTTTATATCCCCCCCAAAAAAAGATCTTGAACATGCCTCCTGCAAATGAAGTTTTGGGATATACATAGGAATTACCTTGTCTGTCTGTCTAGCTCTCAAAGTAATTGTGTCTGGGCATGGAGAAACATTAGAACCTCATACTTGTACAAGATGTTTCTTGACCCAAAGATTAGTCTTCAGTTTGACTGAAGGACATTCTGAAGGACATGCCAAAATGACATTGGGTCAAGGTAATGACACACATCAGGACATAAGTAATATTTTTGCTAAATATGAAATGATGATTAGGAAGAAAGTCCTTCAGTCAAACTGAAGACTAATCTTTGGGTCAAGAACCATCTTGTACAAGTATGAAGTTCTAATGTTTCTCCATGCCCAGACACAATTACTTTGAGAGCTAGACAGACAGACAAGGTAATTCCTATGTATACCCCAAAACTTCATTTGCAGGAGGCATCGTAATCCATTACAATATCACTGCAACTTTCAGTAGGAAAAGATTCATTTATTTCACTTACCTATGGCCAGTTTTGTGGGTTTTTTCTCCGGTGGAGATTCACTGTTTTTTTCTATCTAGAAATAAAATTATGCAGATCAATAAAATTGTGAAAAGCTGTTCTGCAATTAAAATGATTTATTAATAAAGGCTTAATGGTGACATTTCCACAGTTCCTGTGGAACATTGTGAAACCTACCTCTTTGCGAATTCTTCGAATGTGTAGAAACACTGTGTTTCCTGTCTTATTGTAATACCACTCCACATACTTCTTCCCCAGTCCAAGGAATGTGGACATACACACATAAAGCCCTGTGTCACTCTCCTAACAAAGGACAACCAGAGTATTGCTTAATACACATAAATCTAAAATATCACATAATTACAGAGAAACATCAAAGTTTGCAGAATAGGTTCCCCAAAACAAAATGATAATGTTCATCAGCATTCTACTTACTGGATTATCAAAAGAAAAGGTGCATTCTTCTTTGTAAACTTTTTCTTGTCCAAATGGAGCTTTGATTTTAGCCAACTGGGGCATTAAGTCCTCCATACTGTTTCAATAGTAAGAACAAGTAAGCACATGTAATCATTTAAGGTTTTGAGAATTGATTTTCATCTAATTCATATATATAAAATCATTTAATTACAAAGATATTTATCAAAGAAAGAAATGCTTTTCCAACAGCAGTCCTTAACCAATTCAAATATTGGTCAGGTCCTGCACAATCTCTTGATTAAGCTATATACAGTATTACTATGTAAAACTTTGATTCCCCATTGTGGCCCCATCCTTCCCCCGAGGGTCATGATTTGAACAATTTAGAATCTACACTATCCTAGGATGCTTTCACATAAGTTTCAGCTTTTCTGACCCAGTGGTTCTTGAGAAGATTTTTTAATCACCTCATCCTATTTTTGTCTTTTCTTGATTATCTCCCCTTGTGAGAGGACTTGACCCTTTATTTTAACAATTTAAATTCCCCTTCACCCAAGGATGCTTTGTGCCAAGTTTGGTCAAAATTGGCCCAGTGGTTCTTGAGAAGAAGTCGAAAATGTGAAAAGTTTACAGACTGACAGACAGACAGACGGACGGACAGACGGATTACAGACAAAATGTGATCAGAAAAGCTCACTTGAGCCTTCAGCTCAGGTGAGCTAAAAAGTCTAACAAAATAGCTTAATCAAGCTATTCTGAATAGCTTGATAAAGCTATATAGCTAAATCAAGCTATATAGCTTAATCAAGAGATTGTGCTGGACCTGTCGGTTCTTACACTTTCAAAAAATTTGTAATACCTTGATAAAACTATATAGCTTTAACAAGCTATAGGCCTATACCTTTATCAGGGTATTGTGCTGAACCTGTTAAAAGCCAACCGTTAAAAGCTATATACTCAATTAACTCAATATAGCTATTCAAGAGATTGCACTGGACTTGAATATGCCAGGATATTCGAGTTCAACTATTTACAGTATTGATTTAAGTTTATGTTAATTAGGTTGCATGAGGGCTTTCAGACCAGGGCGGTTTGACTAACTTCCTCAAATGTTAAAGTAAATTTTTGTTTTATTCGAAACATTTCATGATGGGTGGTGGAGATGCAAGATGTTGTTTTGGCTGCATGTTGAATACTGAAATATCTGAAGCGAGACGATTTGTAGAAATATTCAAGGTTTCAGAATTACTCACTTTGTAGTTCAATATATTTACCAATACTTTCAATGAATTTGAAATTACCTAGTGCTGTATCTACGACTGATGACAAAAGATTTTTCAACCGATTATTTCGATCAATGTCAACTTTATTCTTTTTTAAATTCTCTAACTCATTAGTTATCTCAAACGCAAAAATGAGTTAGATAACACCAAATTTTGGCCAATGAAATCTTATTTTACAAAATCTAATTTTGGTACATCATACCTTTATTATTCTGCTGATATAATCTTAATACCAAGAAATTTCAAGTTATTATTAAATACATTTAAATTAATGTTTAAAAATATTCTTACCTATCACATCGTTAGATGTCTGAATTTTAATTATTATTTTTTGTGTTATTATGTGATATATTGGTTTATTGTACAACTTAACAAAACTTGAAAGCCAATTTGATTGGCTGTAGCGGGAACTTCAAAAACAATATCAATCTGTCTGAGGTATAAAACAAGAATTTGTTACATCTCTTTGTATGATAAACTTCATTATTCAGTTTAGGTAAGTTTTTATTCTAACACGTTTTTCAAAACTAAAATCATCACTACTAGCCTATAGATTTTCTCTCCACGATAACATTGCTTCAAAAAAGGATATACAGATGAGTTGCTTTGTTCAGTTCACCATGGTTCACAGGCACTGGGAAGTTAATGTAAGTATATAGTATGTGCGTGTCTTTTTTTTAATATACATGTACATACTATATATTTGCATTTACTTCCAGTGCCCGTGGTTGACGCCACTTGGGAGTGCAACTGTTTGGGTAGCAGCAGATCTGTATAGCTCTCTGAAAAAAATATATTGACAGACTGGAGAGCTTTACTGGCCACCCATTGTAAAAACTGTATATTTATTGCGCACAAAAAGTTGCACTAAGTTCTGGATTAATTCTTCCAAATACTTACCTCAATCGCAAAAACGATAGGTTTAAAACAAATTTCTAACTCTTATTTTCTTTGAAGTTCGCTTAAAGCTGACATCAGCACGAAGTGCGTTGGACCAAAATTATCTTGCAAACTTAAATGGCTAAATAAAAAGACGAAATTTTCCATGATCTAAATTTCAAGGTGAGGGGAGCTATTAACATGATTAACAACAATTATAAGGATTGTTTTGTTGTGGAAACAGTGAAAAATTATGTTAGGAACACACGGTTATAGTTATATTTTGAGATAACAGTTTGAAATCATGGAGAAATAAAATCGAGAAACAGCACACTTTTTTGTGCGCAATATATATACAGTTTTTTCTATGGTGGCACTGTAGCTCTCTAGTCTTTCAATATATTTTTCGGAGAGCTACAGTTCTGCAGCTACTGTAAACTTTGGGCAAGCAGTCAGCCTTAAAGAACTTTCAAACAATTTTGATAAGATGAATATCCTAGATATGTATGATTTTATGAAAAGATAAATTGTTTGAATAATAATTTTTTTTTTTGTAATTAAATTAATTTGGGCTAAATTTCACATGCCATAAAGAGACAAATCATACCCTAAAATTCCCTTGAATATATTAGCTAATGTCATGATAATCGTTCATGTTTTAGAAATTTTGATATGTTAACATATCAATCTATCTCCATGATCATTAATGTTGTCAATTCTTGTTTAGTAAACATGGGACTCTCTGGCAGTAAAGACGAGTCGGAGGACTTCAACACACCACCAAAGATAGGGACTCATCGTCGAATCATAGACCAGGAGTTTGATCCGAGATCACCCTCGTCGGGAATATCAAGGACACCTATTGTAGTTGATAAAACCCCAGAGGGACTGCTAGACCCAAGGTCCCCTACCACAGGGATCACAAGAACACCTATAACAACAGCATCTTGTAAACATGGTAAAGATATTGGTGTACTACACCTATAACAAGTTGGTAAACACAATGGCATTATGTTGTAAACATACTTTTGTACATGCAAAATGTAACAATAAAAAAATATGATCTTTACCCTTTCTTAAACATGTTAAAAAGGACCTTGAAATTGTTATCAGAATATTGTTATTTCCAGTAAGATATTTTATAATTCTAGGGCTGGGCAAAAATATCGATATTTATACCCCCACTCCAAAGGAGAGGGGGGTATACTGTTTTACCCTTGTGTGTCTGTCTGTGTGTCCGAGTAGCTGTGTGTCTGTCCGTAACAAATTTTCATCGCAGTTTTCTCAGCAACTATTTATTGTAGATGCTTGAAATTTTAACACAATCTTCTCTTAGACATGTTATACGGTGGGATACATTTTTGTTCAAATCCGATGTCAACTTCCTGTTTTTCTGTGTGTCTGTCAGTTTCATACATAACAAATTTTCGCCACAGTTTTCTCAGCAACTACTCATCACAGGTGCTTGAAATTTTATCACAATCTTCTCTGAGACATGTTATACGGTGGGATACATTTTTGTTCAAATCCGATGTCAACTTCCTGCTTTTCTGTGTGTCTGTCAGTTTCATACATAACAAATTTTCGTCACAGTTTTCTCAGCAACTACTCATTGCTGATGCTTGAAATTTTAATATAATCTTTTCTGAGGCATGCCATATGGTGGGATACATTTTTGTTCAAATCCAGTGTCAACTTCCTATTTGTCTGTGCGTCTGTCTGTTTCATATATAACAATTTTTCGTTGCAGTTTTCTCAGCAACTACTCATCACAGATGCTTGAAATTTTAACACAATCTTCTCTTAGGCATACCATACGATGGGATACATTTTTGTTCAAATCTGATGTCAACTTCCTGTTTGTCTGTACGTCTGTCCGTTTCATACATTTTAAACAAATTTTCGTTGCAGTTATCTCATTAACTATTCATAGCAGATGCTTAATTTTAGTACACTCTTTGTTGAGGCATGCCATATGGTGGGATTAATTTTGATATGAATCTGATGTCAACTTCAAATTTTTCTGTGCATCTGCCTGTAATTGAACTTGTGTATATTAACATGATAGTGTTAATCACATCAGAGCAGGGGTATTACTAGTGAGCATTGGCTCACAGATTTCTTGTTCGATATATTGCAATACAATGACAAAAATATCGTATTGCAATACGTTTTTGTAATATTGATATATTGGCAAAATGTTTGAAAGGTTATTATTAAGTCAAACAGTAAGACAGAAGGTGTTTTACGGGTGTATTTCAAAGCAGAAATCTAATAAAATCAGCAAGATTTTTTTCCTTTTGCTTACTTATTATAGTTATGTACATTCTGCATGTAAATTAATGTTAATATTATATGAAAAGGACATTTTTATAACATTGAAAATATTGCAATACATATCGCAATACATTTAAAAATATCGCAATATATCGCAATACAAAATCTTTGGCCAATACCCAGCCCTAAATAATTTACAATCAATGAAATATGCATGCTTGATAAGTATTTGCACACATCATCAAAGAATAAGATCTGTCGTTGTTTCTACAAATTGTACATTTAATTTCAGTTGGTGTATCGGAGACGCACGATCTCGCCCCACTTATTTTGCATGATGAGGTAGAGATAAGGAAATCCCTGGAAGAAGAGATGGAGGACACAGACAAGTTACTGATGGACCCTGAGGAGATTCCGGATCTAGACAAGCTGGAGATCAGTGACCTGTTAGAGAAACAGAAGAAGACAACTAAACCCCTGACCAGCACCACACTGAAGGAGGTTCCTCCTCATAAACTGCCCGCCAGTAAAGACAAAAATAAAATATTCCAAGGTACTATTGCCTAGGGGTGTGCAATATTACCGGTATATTGCGGTATTATCCACCACGATAATATATCGCGATATGAAAATCAGATACCGGTATTTCACGATATTTATAAAATATATAAAAACCTCCTTTATTGTAGAAACTGCTAAAATATAACTGGAAACTTCTAAGGCTTTTTCTTTCTCGTTGAAAGAATACTTCACCAGCTTCGTTCGGGAGAGAGAGAGAGAGAGAGGGGAAGCTTTAATTCACTGTTGCAGTTTTGAATATCTTACTTTAAAATAAAATTGCTAATTAATAAGACTTTAAAATGAAATAAATTCATAAGAAAGAAAATATATATTTAACATTTTTACATGGTGTATACCATGTGCATTGTGGTTCTCAAAATCTCACATTGAATCTACACGATCGACATCGCGGTGAAATATCAAGTTCAATATACATGTACCCGGTACATATTACAAGTAAATGGTCGTCCATGTTTTCACTTGTAGCAGTGTTCTTTAATTCGTTTTTAATAACTTTCATGCAATTTTAAACACCTCATGCTATACCAGGAGCATGTATATATTAAAACAGTAGATATATAGGTCATTTCCTTATTGTATGTCTTGTGAAATTAGGTCAGGTTAGACTAAAACACCAAAACGCAGGAAAACAGGTCACAATTTCTTTCTGGTTTTAAATTTATTCTGTAACCACAATAAAATTATTTTCATATAGGCCTAGTATGTATATTGTTTTAATCTTTAATAACATTTTATGCTACTTCATTAAGACCCCCCTCCCCCCCAAAAAAAATTAAATGAAAAAAGATTATATAATCTGTAAAAACTTTTTTATTTCAATTTGAAAATTCTCCAAGAGAGTTCATCTTGTTGTACTATTTTACCTGGAATTTGATTAAAGGTAAAGTGTTAATTTGGTGTGCAAGCAATGTCTTATCTCTCCTCCCCCTTTTAAACTTAAAGATAAAAATTCAAATAGTCTTTGAACTTGACAGCATTTCAAACATTCTGCTCAAATTTATTAATGATAATTAATCTACAATATATTGCAATATATTGCAATATTCAAAGTAAAATATTGCAATATATCGCAATATGGTTTTCCTTCACAATACCCAACTCTACTATTGCCATAAAAAAGCCTTAAAAAGGTTCTGTAAAACATTTCTCAATTACCAATTCAAAGATTTAATTGGATATCATGGTAACCATATTTTAAGTCTTGAGACAAGAAGTGGCAGAGTAGATCTTGATTTGAATTATGAAAACAATTCCTCTCTAAGAGCAAAAGTACATGTACATCTACCGGTAACTGTCTTTGCTATTGTCCTTGCACATATTCTATACTCTTCATAAAATTCAGTGGTTGTATTGGACCATTTGGCAAAAGATGCTGACAAAATCAATTAACTGCTTGCAGAATTTTCTAATTTGTCCAGAATTTTTTTTTAAACCTTTTTCTTTCTTTCCAAAATGTGGAGAGGAAATACTGAATTTGATTGAAACTAATCATTCATTACTTGTTATTAAAGCTGTATTAAAACTGGTTTAACTCTGCTAGAGCCTTTAGCTCAGATTTATGCTCTAATTTTCTGTAAATCTAAAAAATACAGGAGAGTAATGTGTGTAAACACTTACTAAACAAAGTACACCAGAGTCAGCTTCCCTCTTTAAAGAATATTAACTTCATCATGTTTATGTTTTAGATGCTCCATCCAGAGTGTCAAAAGGACCAGCCAAAGTTCCCCAGCCAAAGGTGTTGTTTCCAAGTAAACGAATGGTGCCTGGCAACAAAGACAATACTCGTTCACCTCTAGCGACCAGAACACTTGACATGAACTCCCCGAGAAAAATAGTGCAACACAAACAATCCAAAAACATTGAATCCCAGAAAGCTAAAAGTTGTGCACTGGAAGCTGTGACTATGAGTATGAATAAGGAAAATGTCAACATGTGAAACTGAATTCTACTTCAATTCAGATTTTGTTCTAGAATGTGAAAAATCAGTGAAGTCACGATTTGGAATTGAAGAGTCCATAGTTTTGTTTGGCAGACACTTCATTACAAAGCACATGCCCTATGCTATTATGCATCATGCATGTATTTAAATCAGACCCATGCCTAACTGATATTAATATTTGCTTGTAATCAACTACTGGTAGCTACAAATGTAAAGTATAAGCTTTTATTTTTGGGTATAAAGCCACGAAATTGTAAAACAAGTACGGGCATCACAGTCTATCAGATGGTGTCTTAATCATTTCTTGTATGTGTATTTTTTAATGAGGGTGTCAACCTTTTGTACCTTTGAAGTAAATTTGTTCAAAAACCTTCATATATAATGCATTGGAAAAACCTTTATCACTGTTTATATAAAAATAAATATGAAATTTTAGACAAATTCTTGAAATGATGGATACCTTTGTGTTCAGTATTTTTCATCAAAATTATACAAAATTCCATATTCATTACTGCAGTGTTGTATACTGTTGTAAATTAAACATGTACATATAAATAATTTTCTAGTCTGTTATTCCATACCTCTCATATTCAAGAGTGTAACCATGGTAACTACTGAATACCTGGTAACTCACTTACAAAGGCATTTTTATTGAAACTTTCAATCAAGAGTTTAAATATTGTTAATCTTTCGAGTGTTTTTAATCATTGATATTGTAACATATTTATAAAAACCTGTTTGTAAAAAAATTCACTTTGTATTTACTATTAATAGATGAAGAAAATTTGTGCACAGTTTTACATTTTGGTTGCAGTCAGTGTTTACCGAGATAAATCTTCTTCAAGAAACTTTCTTCATGAGAAAAAAAACATTATGACATGGTTAACATTAAATTGCATAAGGCCTAGATAAATAAATTGTGTGTTTCTGGTTCCCCGACCGACCCTATTATGTAATAGGAGCCGACCCTGAACATTTTTTCTGAAAGTATCATATAAGGAGTAAACTATTCCAGTTTTACAATTAGAAATCCTAATCTGAATAACTTCCCTGTTTGAGAAAATGCATATCAAACTCACAAAAATCAGAAATATTTTGAAAGTGATTTCCCTGGGGGAAAATGGCATTGTGCTTGCCAGTAAAATGTTATAATAAAATAAAATGTTTTTCCTACCTATCTTCCCTATTTTTTCTCAGGCTGGAATAGGAAACGCACTATTTATTTATCTTGGCCTAATGAGCCTTAATCAATCACATCCCTTGCATAATGAAGTAGTGGAAAATTGTGCACGTTATAAGCAGGCATACATTTTATAAAGAACTGCGGTAACATCATTTATCTTTTGTTAGTTACTGCTATCAATTTTGAATTTCTGCTTGTAATGTTTTTTTTTTTTTTTTCTTTCTTATTACTTGTATGCCCTGATGGGCCCCAAATTGGTATTAATAAATCTTATCTTATCTTATCTTATCTTATCTAAAGAACATGTATTTTACTTACTCCAAAATACTCCAAACTGTATTAATGGTATACTGCAAACATTTAATTTCTGAACACTGATCTTATTTTGAAATGTAACATGAAAAAAAGCTATGGAAAAGGTGAGGATTCGAACCTGGGCAGGCATTGAACATTTTGTCGTAGGTTTCAACAGGCACATCAGGTGCTCAACCAGTGTAGCTATGATGGCATTCGAACAGGATTGACCTCCACATCCTTCCTCCTTAAAAGTCTTCAACCACTGAAAACACCAATATAGACTCATCCCTGGCAGGTTTCTTAAGGAATCACTGTCTGGTTAGAATAGTATGCCAGGGCATTAATGACAGTGGGAAACATGGGATAATTTGCATATTTGAATGGGCAAAGCCCGTTATGCATAAATTAACCCATGTTTCCCACTATCGTTAATGTCCCTGGCATACTATACTAACTAGACAGTGATTCCTTATATTTCCATTTCATTGTGAAATAAAATTGTAGATTTAGACTTTAAAAATGTAGACATAGATTTAAAATACACGAGGACACTCATACCAATTTCAATAGTCGTCGCCCACTGATGCCAAACACAAAGGCAGCCACACGAGATTTACATGTATATTTGGCCTCCTCAGCGTCAGACACAGAGACAGATGCGCACGAGATTTGCATGCATATAAGGCCTCCTTAGCTCCTGCAGCACTTTTCTCAAAAATTCTTACGACTACGATTAAAATTTGATGACTCTGTAATTTCATTGGTTAATGAAGAAAATTTTTATATCTAAAGAATAATTCACAATATACTTCCATGTAATAGAAATATTAATTTTTTTGCAAGTTACTATAATCAAGATCGTATAAAAAAACTTGGAAATTTTAATCTTAGTCGTAAGAATTTTTGTGAAAAGGGCTACTGACCTATTGACCTGCCTAATTTACATTCCGGTAGAATTATTGAGAAATCAACTCCGCTAACTTTCATAGAGTTATCACAGAGAAATAAAAATTAGAAATGGAAATATTTACCTATCACTCCATTGCATCCACAGCACCAAATGTTTAAAGAAAGGAGATAAATGTAATGAACTAAAACAGGATTCTGCCCTCTTCCCCATTGAATCTCTAGTCAAGTGCTCTATACTAACTGTCAGCCAACTTCCCACCAACCACTGAATTGTCTGACTGCCACACTAAAAACACACGAGTGAATCAAACTCTACGACAAAGTGATGCTTCTACCTGGGTATATCAAAATGAAATAGCAACCATTAATTTAAACTTAGTAAACTTTGATGCCAGCTTAAATCAAGACAAATATACAAAAACAAAGGAGCACAAGGGCAATAACTAACAAAAGTTGTTTGTAAAATACCCCCTCCCCCAAATATTTGGAATTTTTCTAAATCCAAGGGACATAACTGTGTCCAAAATGGCTTGATCCTACCCAGAACAGAACTTGACCTAGATATTCATGGGTAAATCTCCTATTAAATTAGGAAAAATTATTTTGGGCTTACAATGGATAAGTGACAACTTTATAAAAATTTTATTTTTATGAACAAATACATATGAGCAATTACAATTCATTATTTCATGTTTTAAAACAAACATTGAATTCATTTAAACATTTCATAACAATCAATCACTTAAAATTCTGACTGGATGCTTGTATAATCACTGAGTCTTGATATCTCCTAAATTCCTAATGTATCACAGATAGATTGTCCCCGCTTTAATCCACTTCCTCTTCCTCCTGCTGAATCACATGACTGTTTTCCGCTGAATTTGTGTCATGGTTCAGTAATTCCTTCTCGGGGGAGGTGGAGTCAGCCAAACTGGTGGAGCTGTACTGTACTTCAACTGGCTGTAAACAGAAATGTATTTCCCATAATGCATCACAAATGACCTTTACCCTACACCAATAACATGGATGATATTTAGTGAAGTATCACCTTCTGATCCTCTTCTGACTTGTCCTTCCCGTTGTTGTTGAGGAGTGCATCCTCAGACACCCCTCTGTCTCCGCCAGGTGTCACTAGTGTCTTCGTCGGTGTAGCTGTACCGGGTGAACTACTGGCAAGCTGCCAGGCAGGTAACACAGGTGTGGATACTGGGGTGGGTGGGAACTGTCGTCTAAAATAGTGTAAAACATAACTTCATGATACATGCATGGGTTTTGATGAAAGATATACGATAAGCATTTTTTCCACCAATAATTTAGTATGATAAACTATGTATTAACAGTAAATGGGATGGATACTTTTACAAATATGTTAGTAGATTTATAATGTTTCATTGATAATTAATCATTTTACTTAGTATTTGCTAAATTAAATTAATCATGTCTCTTATCTATAATTTATTTTTCTCATTTTTTTTAAAGCTTTTATTGGAAATTCAGTCCCAGGAAAAACATTTTATACAGTAACAATACACATATTAAGCTTAGCATAAATCATCTTTAATAGCACCTTTTGACCTTTTTTGTTTGAAATTGACAACTCACAATTACAGTATGCTTTTTCTAGATTTGACACATTTTATAATATGCTTGCTGGGAACTAACAAGTTGGAATACCTGTTTAGTAACAATCCCTTTATAGATGTCAGCTCTGATTTGATTTCCGTTGAGAACTGTGACTCCTGCACTCTGGCAAGTGTTTCTGAGGACTTCAAAAATAAAAATGTTATAAATAGGCTGTGTCAGGAAAGATTACATCATGTTATGACCATAGGCGCTTGGGTCAAGGATACTGTATATTTTCTATATACCATATATCCATTTTTTTTTTGCGTGTTGGAAAGTTTGCGAAAAAGGGGTAGATTAGTACAGTTTTAATTTTGGGTAAGCTATTTTTTAGGATTGAAGATTTTTTTTGTTTAAAATAGTAATGTTTTTATGTCATATTATAGCTGATATAATTTTTGTGTGTTTTATATTTTGCGAATTTAAAATGGTCACAAAAACTGCGAAAAATAGATCATCGTGAAAAAAAAAAGGATATACGGTAATGTATTGTCAAGGAAATTCGAACTATACTCGTAACATTTTTTTTTAAGTCTGCAGTGTTAATTACAAATAATTTTTAGTTTTTTGTAAATCTTTCTGCTTTATATACATATATAAAAAAAGTTTCTTTTTTAGCATACAGTGGGATATGTCATTTTTAAAGCATGTATAAAATCAAATTTCCGTGACATTATGTTTATATTCTGATATTCATTTTAGATATTTCTTTTGAAAATAGAAAAATCTAGATGTATTTTCTTTCACAACAAATGTAAATTTGCCATCTTTTTCATGAAAAAATATTGACATAAATGTTGCATAAAAGATTTTCTGGAGCAAAGACTTTATTGAGTGGCTGTGCTAGAGAAACACTGTGACTACCTGTTTATTGTAAACATCATGAGAGATTGACTGTAGTTTTTCATCCTGTTTAGACACCATGCTTTGTAGCACTGTCAGAGACTCCTGTACTTTGGCCAGCGTTGTAACAATACTCTGTTGTAGTTCTGTTATAGTCCTCTCCATTTTCTCCAGTCTATCCTCCTCTTTTGATTTCCCAAATAATAAAGGCCCAATCACTTCCTAGTTAACAAATAATAAAGGTCCAATCACTTCCTAGTTAACAAATAATAAAGGTCCAATCACTTCCTAGTTAACAAATAATAAAGGTCCAATCACTTCCTAGTTAATAAATGAAAGAAAAAGTGAGCAAGCTCACATACCCCACGCTCCCCCAAAACTCAAAGTGCTGAAAATCGCGGAAAAAATGAAAGAATCGGAATTTCCCGGTAATATGCACATCTACACATTGTGTCCTAAATATCTGCAAAGTTTGATGAAATTCTGTGCTGCGGTTTATGAGGAGTTGCGCTGACAAACTGTTCATCACTATATTCAAGATATCCCCAAAAATCTAAGTTGTAAAGTGCCGAAATTCCCAGAAAAATAAAGGATTCCGAATTTCCTAGTAATGTGCACATCTATAAATTGTGTCCTAAATTAGGCTAAATATCTGCCAAGTCTGACGAAATTCTGTGCAGCGGTTTATGAGGGGTCGCACTGACAAAATGTTATCTGTATATTCAAGGTATGGCCAAAAATCTAATTTGGAAAGTGCCAAAATTCCCAGAAAAATAAAGGATTCGGAATTTCCTGGTAATATGCAAATCTACATATTGTGTCCTAAATATCTGCAAAGCAAATTCTGTGCAGCGGTTTATGAGGAGTTGCACTGACAAACTGTAAAAGGTGGCCAAAAACCTAAGTTTTTAGTGTGGAAATCGGAAAAAATAAGGCGGAAAATTGCACATCTACATATTGTGTCCTAAATATCTGCAAATTTTGACGAAATTCTGTGCAGCAGTTTATGAGGAGTTGCGCTGACAAAAAAAAAGGACTGACTGACTGACTGACTGACTGACACTCTGATGGACGGGTCAAAAACATTATACCTCACGCAACTAGTTGCATGGGGTATAATAATAGAGGTCCAATCTCTTCCTAGTTAACAAATAATAAAGATCCAATCACTTCCTAGTTAACAAATAATAAAAGTCCAATCATTTTCTAGTTAACAAATAATAAAGGTCCAATCACCTCTTAGTTAAATAATAAAGTTCTACTCACTTCCTTATTAATACAAATATAATAAAGATCCAATCACTTCCTTGTTAAATAATTTTTTTTTATATTAAATAATATTAAATTCATACTTTGTAGAATCTGTATGCTGCATAAGAAAGCCCTCCGACCAAGGCAATGACTGACAGAACATCTCGTACTCTGCTCCATCCACTGTATGGTACCACTGTAAAAAGTACAGAGGTAGTTTCATTCAGAAAACTTATCTCTCTTCCTGATAATGATGACAGAACTTAACAATTTATAAACAGAAAACCTACTCTGTTGATAAACCTGAGGTCCTGTGATTGGAGAAGCATATGGCACAACTGTATTCTGCATGTTGTGGTCAGCCACCGTGACCTCTTCTGTAACCCCTGACCTTTTGACTGCCATTTCTATCTCCTCTTTTGTAAGACCTTTATATAAAAGAAAGACTCAGAATTTTTTTTAAAAATCATGTTGTACATACTAGTTATATTTTTTAAGATGACTCTTTCAAGAACACACGGGCAAGAGTGGAAGGCTGGTTTTCCTGAGTGATCCTTCCAAGTATTAACCACATTGTACATGAACAAATAATTAATTTCTTTAATAGTTTATAGAAGCTTTTATTAAACAACTGGTAAAGGTGAACACCTGTTGGAATTTTTTATTGCAAACCTTTTCTCTCTAGGAATGCCTTTCTTTGTTGCAAAGGACTTTTCCTAACTTTAGGGTTTTGCAGAAATTTAACAGCTGTTGAAATCTATAAAAAAAAAAACAAACCAACCAAAAAAACATATCAGTATCATTTACTTCAGTTAAGAAATTGTGAATGGGGCACATGCAGCATAAAACATACTGTGAAATCACAAATTTTTGTGGGGGTTTAATTTTTGCTGTTTTCAAGGTATGGAGACTCATGAATGTTTGTCTACCATAAAACGTAAACTTTCATATCATGCAGTTCTACTGAACATTTTCTAACCATAAAATCATATCCCCACAAACCAATATTTTTTCCTCAAACCTAAAAAAATTGACCCCATGAAAATATGTGATTTTAAAGTGTGTCAGAGCAACATTTTTCAGTCAACAGGATTTTTTTTTTGGGGGGGGTTGATTCAAGAGATTAAAATTTTTACATACCATATCTTCCCTGGGCCCCTCTGGTGGTGCAAGTATCTCTTTTGGTATATCAACTGACTGAAGTCATAAATAAAAAATAAACTTTGTTAGCTGAAAATTATATTTTCGCAGATCCTAAACACATGCTAAACAAATGCTAAAAGGACAGATATTTGCTTTTATTTATCATCAATTTCTATGTCAATGCAAAAGTTATTCTAATTTAGCTGCTTATTCTCATCATTTTTAAGATTTGATCATATTTATACAATTAACATAAACAACAATGTAATAAAATCAGATTTTTTAACAGTAGGAAGAGTAGCATTTTGAATGTTTTCACAAATATTTCTATTTTTAGTAACCATGGCATAGTTAGAATGTCAAGGGACAAGCCCTCATCACAGTTAGAATATGTTCTATACACTTGCAATGTAGCAAATGAAATCAGAGCTTATCTGCTTCAAAATGATTTTGAAGTATACAAAAGGGGTTTAGCCCCCGCCCCCAATAAAAAAAAAACTACTTACTACCAAATTAATCCAAACATATACCATATAATCCCTTATAACCGCCCCGGGCGCTTAGAAAATTGCGAAAAGGGGGCGGTTATTTTGGTATTCTCTTTTTAATATTTAATATCGTATCTTAAATTCAAAAAATATTTTGAAAAAAAATCATAAATTCAAAGAATCTCTAAAATAATGTCTAACTTTACTTTAAATGAAGATAATCCACCCAATTATGCAAAATGTATCATTTTCCAGCAAGAAATTAGGTATTAAACAAGTTTCATTTTCACTTCCTTCAAATTTTGACAGACTTTTGATAAGATTCTAGATTATTTTAATCGCTGTACAGGGGGCCCTTATTTCCTGACAATTGAAAAAGACCTAAGGGGGCGCTTACAGGGGCTGGGGCGGTTAATAGGGATTATACGGTATGAGATTATACATACCTTTTATCTCAAAAAAATAATCCATGTAACGACGAAAATTCAACTAATTTTCTAAATGTATTTTTCTTGCTTCAAATTTACCTGCCATGTTTACATTCGGAACTCAATGGATTGTTTGTAGTAAATGCACTGAGTTCAAGTTATCGCCCGTGTTTAATTTGCTACTTTGTGAATACACGTAAATAATTCTCTCATTAAACTGGGTCTGTAGAACAATATCATCTCAACTATAGAATGACAACTATCGTTAGATAATGACCTATCTCGTGTATTCGTAATGACAGCGATTGTAGGAACAATCTAGAGAGTTCGAATGTAAACATGGCAGGTAATTTGAATTGAGAGAAAAACGTTGAGAAAATTAATTGGATTTTCGTATTTATATGGATTATTTTTTGGGATAAAAGGCATAAGCAATCTCAAGAAGGTTTGTTTTGATTACTTGTGTGCAAAAGTTTAGCATTCCGATTTGCTACATTGCAAGTATATGGGACAAAACTGTGGTGAGACACAGTTAGATTATTCTAACTATAGAATGACCTATCTCACAATGACAATTGTAAATACTCTTCATCTGAATCAGAGACTGATAAATAGAATAAAGTGTCTAAGTGTAGTTTACTTGTGTGCCAAGTTATATTGAAATCAGACCAAAACTGTTAGACATCGTTTATCTCGTACATGCATCTAAAACAGTATATTTGTGAGATGGTTGAGAAATTCTACAATCAATCCCACTTTGCTACTTAATTTTGATCTCATCTACTTTATCTTATGTTAGTATTTAATGACTTTGTACAATATTAAAGACTGCGTTCTACTTTCTGACACTTCATCTTATAATGAAATTATTGGTGTTGTATATAAAAAATGGGAATTGTCATCAAATCTAAGAAAAACAATATGAAACATGAAGCTATCTTATCATAAATAGGGTATGTTAAAGTAAGAATAACCCACTGAAAACTGTTAACTAATGTTTTTATTTCATTCCAGTTTACCTTTGTTTCTTCTTCCGCCATCTTGTCACATCAGCCGAACAAATCTTGTTTCGCTATTCACGATTGGTTGATTATTTTCGGAATATCTTTCATCTGAACATCGTTCCCGATGTTTTCCGAATTCTAAAGCGGCGAAGTTGAAAACAAAAGTTGATCAAAAGACCAAGTGAAAGAGAAGTTAGAGTAAGAGAAACGCAAAATATTTATCAGTTATCAAAATGAAAGTTGTAGCTTTTGTAATAAAAAATGAAAATAATACTATGAAATGGCCCCAAGTAACACAACAGTGCCAGTGCAGGAGTAACAAAAGCATTATGATATGATGTCAGAGAGATGAATTTCCTACCTTGTACTAGAATCTGATCATTTCCATCTCCAAAAGTTTACTTTTAAGTTCAAGTACATTCACTTAAAAATTAATACAGTATGTTGATGATGCGACTGTTAGGGCAAGCGCAGATATATATATTATATACTTATTCAGTTTTCATTTAGATCGGGCTTGTCAAACCGCACTTGACATTCGGTGCATCTAAGACAATATACCTTCATCATCTGCATACAGAAACATGTCATCTGCAAACACGGACCCCAACAACATCAAAGGTAGGATCAGGTGCCAAGGAGGAGTGAGAATGGCCCCTGCCGATTGGTCACACCCGCCATGTGCTCCTTATCATGATCAAGAAATAACAGAAAAAATCCGTTGTCAATTCAGTGTATAAATAATAGACTAACAATTAGTATGAAAAACGTCAGTCAGCATTTGACTTAATGATAAATTGTATTTGCTAATTATACAAGGTCATTGTATCGACCATAGAACTTACGTAATGATTACTTTAAAGAAGCCTGCTGAAATTCTTGTTTCATCAACTTGTTTGTCAATAATTTACCTCGTTGTAGAAATTGTTCATATGTAGAGCATGCTCTTGCGTATCTAATCAACTGAGATATGTAAACTCCGTATGTAGGTGATGATGGGTATATTGCTGCATAAAATATCATGATACGTACTAGACAAACTTTGAATGGTACAAAACTACAAGTTGTTTACTGTTTATAACTTTATTCATTTAACTTCTGTGGCCTTTCTTTTGAGAGTGTAAGTTTACAAGTGAGTTAACTTACATAATGCAGTCAAACGTTATTTGGTGATGGTGATGAGGGGGAGGGGAGAGGGTTAAAGGGATCATTAGGCCTGTACAACTAACCTGATTAATCTGATTCTCATAGTCAAATTGAATGGTCCTGGCCTCAGGCCTCTGAAATTTAAGTTCAGGTAAAGAGTGAAGCCTATTTTTTTTATGCCCCCCTTCGAAGAAGGGAGGGCATATTGCTTTGCTGCTGTCTTTCGGTCTGTTGGTCCACTTAGTTTCCGTTCATTTTCTTCACAACCGTTACAGATACTGAAATGAAATTTGGTATACAGATTATGAGATATATCAAATTAATATCTAGGTTTAGTTCTGTTTTGGGTTCGATCACGCCATTTTTTACAGTTATGCCCCTTGGACTTTGAAAAATTCCAGTTATTTGCAGTTTCTGTTCATTTTTTTTGCAGAGGTTGCACATACTGGAATGAAGTTTGGTTTACAGATTTATCAAATGAATATCTAGGTCAAGTTCTGCTTTGGTTACAATTGCGCCATTTTTGACAGAGATATGTCCCTTGGATTTTGAAAAATTCCAATTATTTGCAGTTTCTGTTCATTTTTTTGCAGAGGTTGCACATACTGGAATGAAGTTTGGTTTACAGATTTATCAAATGAGTATCTAGTTCAAGTTCTGTTTTGGTTACAATTGCGCCATTTTTGACAGAGATATGTCCCTTGGATTTTGAAAAATTCCAATTATTTGCAGTAACTGTTTCTGTTCATTTTTTTTGCAGAGGTTGCACATACTGAAATGAAATTTGATATACAGATTTATCAGATGAATATCTACTAGGTCAAGTTCTGTTTTGGTTACAATTGTGCCATTTTTGACAGAGTTGTGCCCCTTTGACTTGGAAAAATTCCAGTTATTTCAATTTCCGTTCAATTTCCTCACAGAGGTACACATACTGAAATGAAATTTGGTATACAGATTCATCAGATAAATATCTAGGTCATGTTTTGATTTGGGTATGATCTTGCCATTTTTGACATAGTTATGTCCTTTTGGACTTGGAAAAATTCCTATTTGGGGGGAGGGGGCGTAAGTGTTTTACAAACTTCTCTTGTTTATATAATGTTTTTGGGATACTCTTTGTCCTGCCATTGAAATTATAAGATGTGTCTGATGAGAACCCTTTACATTACTGTAGTGCTGTTTTCTATTATAGTCTTTTTTGCAAGCAGTCTTCCTTGGCAAGTTGAATCAAAGGGTGCTTACCAGTACTTTGACAGTACAGAATATGTCAGAGTTTTGGAATATATTTTTTTTCTAGGTGAAAATCTCACATGCGATGTCAGAGGCTCGTCCTTTTAAGATTTGGAATCATGAGCGGACTGTGAAAAAAGGAACTGTCGCATCTTCATTACAAGATTTACTCAGAAAAGGTTGATTTTTTTAGTATATCTATCTGATTCTTGATCAAGTTGGATTATGTATACCTATGAATAAGAATCTAATTAATATATGGTAACTTATCTGAGTGTCCAGATGGTAATGTATCTGTACACAAATATGATAAAACGAAGCTGTAGATTTATACTCACAGCAATCAGGTGTAAAATTTGATTGCACTACATATATTACTCATATTAACTGACTCATAAGTAGTTTAGATATAATCAAAATATGTACTCGTAAAATTCAGACTATTTTTACCGTTATGTTCAGATCTTTGAATTTCATATGGGGTAATTTTTTTTCAATTCATAAATAACTGTTACATTGTCTCTAAATATTTTGCAGCATATATTAATCTGATTATATTTGTAGGGAAGTCATCACTGGGAATCCCCGAACCAGAACAAGTAACAGCAGTGTTGGAGGAAGATGGTACAGAGATTTCAGATGAAGATTACTTTGCCTTCATAAGACACAACACCACCATCATGTTACTTAGAAATGGGCAAAAGTGGCAGCCAGTTGGAGCAGGTATAATTGTTTTACCACCATTTAAATTATCTGTGTATTATCAAGACTGTGTGACAATTTTATTTGTAAACTTTGATATAAAAAAGAGTTCAGTATCATATTTACCGGTATATTAAAGATGCATGTTTGCTTTGTTTTAGTGAGTAAAGCACTTGTAATCAAACACTAACAGTTAACTTTGTTTATTTGTAATTTTATTTTGTCCCCATATACAGTAAAACTCGGTTATAAGGAAGTCACTGGGACCTATTAAATTACTTTGTTATAATATATCTGTAATTCATTATATCCGTATAAGGAATTTGCTAGATTCATATTGTTGACTCAAGGACCAACCTAGGGGGCGACTGAGGCGAAATAGTCGCTTTTGGGCTCCAAACTTCGCCGTACTTTATCTTGAAAGCGAAGTTTAAGTCGCCTTAACATTTGCAACCCCTTTATTAAAAATCTATTAAGAAACATGGTAGAATCATCAGTAGTTGATAAATCTTGTTTTATTACTGCTGAAATAAACCAAACAGCAGGACACTTGCACCTGTTTCGCTGCTAATGACCAATGCATCGAATACTCTGTCGGAAATCCTCTAGATTTTACTCTTCCGGGTATGAAAAAGTCCAATTTTTACAAGTTATGCACAACCAGATGCGAAACAGCTGGTCAATTATCGATGCCATGCCAAAGATGTTGAAGATGGTTTTAGATCTTTTTATTGCCAAATAATTAATTCATGCTGTGAATACAGGCATACTTTACTGTTAATTTGTGAAGTTATTGACCGTTTAAGAAATTACACATCCTGATATACCGAGTTCAATCAGCATGCAGTACGTAGTACATCAAAACTCTTTTCAGAAAAATTAAATGAAAACAAATTTTGAAGAGAAAATAACAAAATTATGACTATGCAATGAGCCCAAAAATTTAAAATGAAAAGATAGAATTTAATAGTTAACTGTGCATATTATGCAAGAAATGAAAAAAAAAGTCCGCACGCGCCAAGAAGTCTCCCTAAATTTCAAAACTTCTCCCTAAATTTTGGGTCTAGGTTGGTCCCTGTTGACTAATGAGATCCAAAATAACTTCGTGAATTCGCAATATCACGATATCCATGAATTTGCAATATCCATGTTCGTACTAAACGAGTTTTACTGTATTGGAAAAATATTTTAAATTTTATCTTTTAAACAACAACAAGGAAACAAATTAACAAACTGAAATGCAAGCAACTGCATATAGTACAAATTCAAAATTTTACAACAGTGGCTTGAAAAGGTTTTGAAGATTCTTTAGTACATCCAAAGATTTAATTTTATACAGAGAATCAGTTTGGGGGAGACGAGGTAGATAATCTAGAGGCAGGAAGTGAGATATCAGACAGGATGAAGCAGTTAATAGCAGGCCTTCATAAAAACATCACAAGAATCATCACCCTGTCAAATGATGATCTACAGGTAAAATTGTCAGATTGACAAAAAATGATATATAGGTCAAAATTGTCAAATCTGCAGTTCAGTAATAAAATAATCATACTTGAACTGATACTGGTAAACTTATCAGACTGAAAAAATGTGATCCATACGTCAAAACTGTCAAATTTGCAGTTAAAATAATCACACTGTCAATTGAAACAGGTAAAATTGTCAGATTCAAATGTCAATGTGATGCTCGGGAAAATTCATCTCTGTCAAATGATGATGCATATGCACACTGTCAAGTCAATGGTGTAAATGAAACCATTACATCATTGTCACATGAAGTCATTACAATATATCAAGATGATAATTGACAACCAATCTCAGACTGTAAAATATTTTTAACTCTCATCTAATGATTCTTGAAGCTTCAATATCATTGTGCTTATGTATTTTTTTTTTTTGGTGAAACTTATTAACATGAACAATTAATCAATATCCTAAATATTAATCAGATTTTCCCCCCCTGGATTTTTTCAGATCATTGTGGGTATGGATGTCCCAATGCTGGCTAACTTGCTGCAGGATACAGAAAATTTCGCTAAATCCATTCAGGAAGCCTGCCAGCGCCACTTAGATGAACGTAACCAGACCTCGGAGGCTATGGATCTGTTAAGACTTTATCACACCGCCCGACAGTCCAGTCCTTATGTAGAGGATACAGGTCCAAAACGTAAAAAACATGCACACACGTAAATCAGGGTCATTCTTGTGGTGTAGAAATTAAAACTGAACACATTTTGATCTTTTATGTATTCATACATATGTTTGATTTTCAATCTCATCTGTTTTGTATAAATTTTTTACCCAAATTTGTTAGTAGAATCGTATTCTTTTTTATTTACATCTATTTCATCTATTAAAAGTTTATTCATTCATTCAAAGTTTCTATTATAGAAGATTTCTGTTTTTATCTGCCTGTGTATGATTTTTCCATCATTGTTTGATTTCAAAACCATACTTGGAAAAATATCAGAAGTAAATATTGTGCCATATAAAGAGTAGCCAGAAGTTTTCCTCAGAAAGCGAACATCACAGTGTTTTCAATAAGATTTTGAATAGAAGGAAAAATAGATGGAATAGCAGGAAATCAGTCTTGGCGAGGGGTCTGGGGGCCGCCTTAGGCCCCCAGCGGGTCCAGGGCAGAGCCCTGGTAGGGGGCCCAGGGGTGCGAAGCCCCCCGGACGAAAACGAAATTCAGCATTTTGGACTCACTTTTCTTACCTCTCAGGTCATTAAAAAAGTACTATTTTTTCCACAAATTTTACCTTAAAAAAGCCAATTAGAAAACAATTTTTGTCTTTTCAACGATTTGTTTGACAGATTTTTGACAGACTGAGTTATTTTTTTCTTCTGAAAACTACGTATCTATTAAAACATATAGACAACTTAAGTATGAAATTATAGTACAGACAATATTTGTATGTGTAAAATATTATACTGAAAATTCCACATATTTATTCCCTTTCACAGTCCGTTCAGAACTTTTATTCATATTTAAAAAAAATTATTTAGTTAAAAATTTAAGATTTTTTAAACACTTGGTGATGTACAGTACCCCCTTAAAATTGAAATAAACCGCAATCTTAGACTTTTAATAAAATAATCTTTAAACCGATTTAATTTTTTGACATTTTGTACAGATTGTCAGAATAAAGTAATTAAGAAAATGGAATTTGATACAAAATACTAGTACATTAAATTCTTCCCAAATGGGAAAACGGTACTGTCCCTGTATTTCAAGAGATCTTACACGAATAAATGAGAATACAATTTTCAGTTTGATGATATTCTGTAAGAATTTCTACGTCTGAGTCACGTCTTAGCTTAACATTTGATATTTTCATTTTGAGTATATTCTGTAAGAATTCATACATTTTTTAGTAAGGTCTTAAAATTATATTGGACTAGATATAGATATTTGCTGTTGTTTCACCGGGGAACCCCTCACTTAATATTGAGTCTGTGGCACAATCAATTTTAAATCGAAAATTATAAAACACAAACAAATCTTTTCGGAAGGGACCATACTTTATGCCTCTTAATGTATGTGATCTCAAACGCATGTGTTACAGCAGCAGCACGTTTCTCCACGACTTCGCTCAAATATTCGTTGTCCGCGACGCCATATTACATGACATATCGATCTAATCAAACTTCCTTGAAAAAAGAGCGCACTCAAGGGAAGCTACTCTAGATCATGGAAATAGTTGCGATGAAATCTATGGATTTCACGTATCAGCCCCGGCAAAATCCTAATGCCGGAAATTTCATAGCCGGCAAAATTTCTCGTACAGGCGGTTAATTTTGCCGGTTGCCGGCTCTTATTGAAAACACTGACATCAGGAGGCTGTCCTATTCTCTGAAATGAAAGTTAAAAGATTTGAGGAGCTCTGTTGCATTACACATGAACAGACTATGTCACTTTTAAAAACTTGCATTTAGAATAAAAAGAACAAAAATGATTTTGCATTGACTGTGATCATATAAAAAAATAATTGTCTAGGAATCTTTTTGGTAACAAACTTGTTTTTGGTTTACATATCTGATGAAATAGATTGTGATTTTTTTAATGCACAATTTCCATACATTTTCATTTGATCTGAAAAAATCTCTTTGTATGGGAAATGACAAAAGATTTGTACAATTTGAAATGTGATACGTATATTTTCTTATTTTTTAAGAAACATTCCACTTAAGATTCATCATCCTTTAATTCGCTCATATTTAAATTTCCTCTTACGCTACTCACAATTTTCCTACAGAAATAAGAATTGTAATTAATATGCATAATTAAGATCCTTTTCAACTTTGCAGTTCATAAAGGAATAAAAATCATCACAATGAGCTATCTTTTTTGTCAGAGGGTTGATGAATCTTAAGCTTGTGTGATTTAATATTTGATATATACATTTTTTCGGTTCAATTTAAAGAGTTGTGTTGTGCAGCAAATTTTGAAAATACCTTTCTCTGCATAAAATACATTTATTTAATGATATTTTTATGTTTTTTTTTTTGCAAGAAAAATATTTTTTATACATATAATTTCTTAAAAAAATTTATACTGGAAAATAAAAAAAAATAAAGAAATAAAAACAGAAGTTCTATTTTCCTCTAATGTGTCGCCGGCATGGGAAGTGGTTAGTCTACTCTAGAGTTGGGAAGTAAAGGCCGGGTTGATCCTTATGTCGCAGGTTCGAATCCCACTGTGGGACGTGGAGACTGGTTGTTCGAATGAGACCGTATAAACCTAGGTCCCGTGTCGCAGTAGGTGCTGGCACAAAAAAGATCTCTCCCTGCTCAATGGCCCGGGTGCCGAGCATAGGACAAAATTTGTAGCTCGATCTCTATGGGCAAGTGGTGGCGTCTCCATATGAGTGAAAAATTCTCGAGAGGGACGTTAAACAGTATACAATCAATCACATAATATATTGTGTGCTATTTATTTTTTTCCATGCTGTTTGGGGTAAAACTTTGAGAAGGAAATGTTCTTCATGTTCACTGATGAATGTAAAGTGTTGTGCTTGGTTTCTTTTCCTAGATTTACACCAGGACGGATTTACACATACAACGTTTCAATCTTTTTTTAAGTACAGATTGTACATCTATCTCCCCTAGATAAATGAGAAATGGGCAGTACACTGTATGCTGAAGTAAATTATGGACTAAGGTTTATCATGTCTGTCTGCCCAATGTCAAAAATATAAACACAACCTGAGAAAATAATCCAGCTTCCCCCAATATTCTACGATTCTCCTCCATAAAGGTATTGCTGAGTCAAGAAATGAATAATAGCTGATTTTGAACTGATTCATCATCCTACTTGTTCTACTTCTAGGACATGAGAATTTTTTAGAAGCAATTAATTGGCAGGGATTTATTTCTCAATGCAAGGGCGGATTCAGGGGGGTTTGGGGGGGGTTCGGGAAAACCCCCCCGCTCATTGAATTTTTTTTTTTTACAAGTGTCATTTTATCATTTTCTTGCATTGATAAGACTCTATTAAACACGAATCCATTGTTCTGTACAACTGTGAAATATATACTTTAACTACATAACAGGAAATCACTTTCCGCTTGAACGCACACAATACACAGGTAATCAACAGAGAGAGGGGTAGTACGTGCATCTAGTAAAGTCACAAGATCATCGTACAGTACAATGTAGTCAAGTATCAACAACAGAAAATTGCATAGTTACGGTGCTGCTCAGTGATATTCATTTGCTGATAAAATGCATGGCATTTTATTAACTATTTGAATAAACAATTATATACATGTAGGGTTTTTTATTTTACCGTTTTAAAAATTAAATTAATACATTTTTTTTTCACAAAATCAGGCTGGCTTTCCAAAATCCTCTAGTTTTGATAGATTCTTCGGTTTAAGTAATTTTTTTTTTTAGTTTGAAATATCACTAATTGTGCATGTGTGTTTATATTCCAAATCATATTGACAGTATACTCAAGTAAATTGAAAAACACTAATTAGGAATTCTGAAAAGAATCCAATGTTTGATTTTGATTAAGATTGAACATCAGTTGTATCTTAGAAGTCAGCTTGACTAAATTAATTGAAAATGCATTTAAAGTGAATACAACTTGAAGTCAATTTAACTGCTTGACGTATTCCTAAAATTGTCAGATGTAACATTTTTTTAAAACAAAGTCTAAAGTCTTGTGTTAAAGTAAAATTACAAGCAATTTGAAACATTTTATTTATCTATATTCTTAAATATTTGTGATGATTGGTCTTTAAAAAAGCTACAAAAAGTACAAGAAATGCTGGAAAATGCACCATTTTAGAACTATTTAAAACAATTTTTTTTCGGGGGGAGCCCCCCCCCTCCATTTTTTAAAACAAGGTCTAAAGTCTTGTGTTAAAGTTAAATCAAATTGAAACATTTTATTTTTCTGGATTCTTAAAAATTTGTGATGATTGGTCTTTAAAAAAGCTACAAAAAGTACAAAAGAATGCTGGAAAATGCACCATTTAGAACCATTTAAAACAAAATTTTCTCGGGGGAGGCCCCCCGAACCCCCACCTATGGGAGGGGGACACCCCCTCCCATGCCCTCCCCCTTCGGCCCTTTTGGGCATCAAACCCCCCCCCCCCACATGAACTTCTGGATCCGCCACTGCAATGGTCATGTTATTCATGTTTACAAAGTTAAAATTCAGATCAAGTTTTTAAAGGATAATTTAGTATTTTATAGACATTCCAAAAATCTTATGAGTCAAATGTAACTAAACAAAATTTGTTTTCTGCATCACAGATGAAATATGTTTTACAGCATCGGGTTCGAAAATTTTTCGTTTTAAACATCGGGATCGATATCTCCCGTAATGACAGAACTTGAAGTTGAAATGTACTATGTAGTCGTAGAAAATTTATTGATTCATCAGTTAAATCATTGAATGAAAGTCAGACGAAATCCGAATCAGGTAATTTTTAGAGATAACAAAATTACTGTAGATGTTTTCAGTTCATTAACTTCATAAATATTAGGGAATCAGTATTTCACCATTGACAAATGCAATGGATTGGTTTTGATCCACCCCGGGAAAAATGTATTTTCATAAACGAAAATGCGGTCTAAAATAACGTTGTAAACAATCAATCAACGATAAACATGATAAAACTGACCATATTTTTAAGGAGTCATTTCTTTACGCATAAAATTTATGAAAAAATCCACTTTTCCTTCTAAAATTTATTATCATTAGTAAAGGAAAGGAGTGGTGGCCATGTGAAATACCCATCTTTCAAGTTTCAGTTGAGCTGTTGATTTTGGCTAATTTTAATGTTTCAATTTCACAAGGAATTATTTCAGTATTCAGTAAATAAAATATTTTAAACTGTTTATATTTGGGCATCACTTTCTTGAGTCATTGAGTACATACATGCCAACTTTTGAAAATTCCCATGGGGGATTTTGCGCGTGACGACAATTTTCAAAGCTTTAAATTCGCGACATTTTGTAGTGAAAATAAATGATTATGAAATACTTTTTTTTAATTATAATATTGATATCACTTATTAATACAGCACAAATAAAACAATACAAATTAAAGTTTTATTTTTCCAAATTTAAATATCTTTGCTTTTTATAGTTGTCACTCTGTTTTATTAATTTACATTTTGTTTCTGGTATGTACCCTTAAAATCAAGTGTCACTTTATTCTCTATAAGTACCGGTAAGTATATAGACAGTGCATAATTAATTTTATCTCACACACAAAACAATTTGGAGAAATAGGCCTAATTAAATCATTAATTTTTTAACAAAAGCTCCACCCACCCATCCCAAAGAAAAAATTAAAATTGTAAAAGACTACATAATGAACATGATGAGCTTTTGCAGTCTTGGCAGTGCCATATGGGTCTCTGGTATTTCCTTAAATTGACATATATGTAAACAAAGAAATACAATGTACAATATGAGTATGATCTATGGGAGAAGGGGGGGGGGGTGGTTGATTCAGTGTACTTAACATGAGATTATTATTTAATCAAATTATTTTCAATATTTTTTTAAATTGACAAAGTATACAATATTTTTATTATTAGCAGTTAAAATCAGCAGCTATATATGCTTTGAAATTTTCTACTTTCGTTTTCAAAAAAAAAAAAACGATCTTTTTGGATTCCAATTTTATTCTTTGATTATCATTATATTGACTTTAATTTTTGTTTTTACTACAATGACTAATAATTAAGCCATTAATCTATGTGTTTCACTTTGCATACCCCTTCAAACTGAATCCCCTAACTGCTCCAGGCTATAAGCTACCTGTATCTGGACAGCAGTGTGTGCGTTGAAGCGAGAAGTGATTTCCTGTGGCTAATTAACTGCATGCTAAGTAAACAATGAGACTTATCTGTGTGCATTGAATAAACAACTCTGATATTCTTATCCCGATTGACAAAATTCGGCGGTAGGGAAACTTGAAATCTGAATTTTTTTCAAATCGGGAAATTGGGTCAATTTTTCTCTCCCGATCGGGAAGGCGGGATGAAAGGGTAAAATCGGGAGGATCCCGCCTAAATCGGGAAAGTTGGCATGTATGTGAGTACAATTGCTGGAAATCCTAAGATTAATGCCTCAATCCCACCCTCGCAATGCCAATGGTCCTGCTCGTCAACATGTTGCTGTTAGACCTCTCAGGCAAATTTCATTTAATATTTTAAGGCTTGCTTTTCCTATTGTCAAGCACCAATCAGATTATTTTTAAAATTGATTGCTAATCAGATTTGAATGATCAGTTCAGTTGTGTTATGTTGTAAGCATTTTCACATATCTGCACTGTTTATAGAACTTTTGAGATCTATCAGATTGTTATCAATATCTTCATCATTCATTAGAAGTATAAGACAGTATAGATGATTGAAATATTGAAATCTAAATCTAACGTTATATCTTTATTTATGGTGTCTGAAGATCTTGTCATTGTAAGGAAGGTGTACATCATCATTCCATTTGTGAATTCATTCTGCATGCTGTTTTAATGGTGTTTGAATAAAAAAATTCTGAACTAAATAATAGTAAATTTTTTATTTGAACAATCTAATGCAATTTTAATAGCTATGTTTTATTAGAATAAGTCTAGTTTATTTTAAATAATTCTTTTTAGGTCAGTTTGCTAATTTTGAAACAGAATAATCTAGACATGATGTGATTTTTGGCCTGTAAACAAAGGTTGGCCAGTGAAGATGATACAGTGGTATCCCTGGGTTATTCTCTTATGAAAGACTGTTTTTGAGTAAAATGTGTGCAGTTGTCAATATCTCTCTCTAAATGTGTTCAATTTGAAGATGTGTACTGCTTTTTGTGGATTAATATCCAACAAGTTCTGAAATGCATTAAAAATGAAAAAGAAATTAAGAGGCAGTCCACTGAAAATCAGGCAATGGGTGGCACATCGCATGTCATGGATTTTTATTATTTTTTGCATGTAGACTTATAAAAGCAAGTGTTTACACATGACAACATCAAAAAAATTTTTAATGCTCCACTAGTCCTATTTTTGGTAAGTGCTCAATTTTAAGTGAAAAAAGGTCAACAGGGGGGTAAAAAATATTACTACTTTTTTATTTTGTTTTATATGTACCAGATACGCAAAACCTGGATGTGTCTATCAATATTATTTATACCATAGACTCTTATCTTTAATTTTATAAATGAATAAGACTCCAATTTATATTTCTTTAGAAAAAATTATGTGGTCCAAAATTGAGTTTACCAAGTAACTTTTTGAATTCATTATCCAATTTTCATTACGTTATAAAACCCAATACATTACGATGACAGATTTTTTTAGAATTGGCCAACATAGTCACATGTTTAAACTCCATATTAAATGTGAGTGTGTGATTGTTTAAATCGCCTAATAAAAAAAATAACATAATTTAAAAAAAAAAAAAACGAAATGTTTCACTAAACCATCTTCCGTTTTAATGCCAAATTATAGTGGGGAATTCAGTAGTAATCTAACTCAGTAAATATATTTTTATAACATTTTTCAAATTTTTTTTTCATTGTTAATCGTACCGCGGATTGTTTCTTTTGATTTGACTGCATAGGTAAATATATTAATATCATGAGGTAAACATATCTCAACTTCGTTGAATTAAATGTTGCGTAAATCTAAAACATTCATCATTGATTCCAAACTTTATAAGAATTGTTCATTTATATAAACACTTCATTAATTATTTTTACGCATATCATAGTAAATCAGTAAAAAAAAAAAGTTCTCAGACATGTATAAAAGTACTTTTCAAAACGGACTTGTTTTAATACATCTACCTGAGACGCCGCCCGTGTATATAAAAATGTATTCTGCAGAGTAATTACACAGAAAAAGAGAAATCATTTAAATCTTTTTCTTTACACTTTATGCAAAGAATCTACAAACTTCTCTGGAAAACTTGCAACTATTTCATTGTGACGCAATATTAGTCAGGTATATGACGTCACTGATACATCAATGGAAACGTGATTTCAACCTGAATAATATCGCCAATTTTTATCTAAATATAACGTTTGGAGGCGAAAATGAATTATATTTTGAAAATATGTAAGTTATTTTTTGTTTAATAATTTTCTTTAGTGCATCGATTCTAAATATTTCACTAGGATTCCGATAAAAAGGTGTATAGCAGATTTACCGATGCCACGGGAGATAACTCTTGCATAACAAAATTTCATTAAAACGTCTATATATTTTGCCAGAAAACTACTATCAAAAGTGTTTTGCCCACCGATTTTATTTTTGAAACTGATAGACGAAATATTTCTAGATTTAGTTCAGCATGAATTATAGTCCTTTTAAAAATGTATTGGAAATTACAGTTCTTTGTTTCTGACCTAAATTCAATGGTTTATATAGGGGAATTCAAGAACACGAAACAAACGGATATTTTACTAAATAAGCAATTTTCAAAAAAATCTTCCATTACATTATTCCATTTGGACTACATTGATATTGTTTTCAATAAAATATCAAATATTCGTCACATTCGATGTGCTGCCTATTAATACAATCCTGCCTGGTTTTTCGGCGGACTGCCTCTTAAGCTAATGTAGGCCTATTTCCGAGAAATTCTTTTTTTCAATTCTTGATAGCTAAAATAATTATTTTCAAGAATATTTAGCTATCAAACAATTTGACTTCATATGATTATTTATTTGATACCGGTACTTTATTATAGCTATGGTTTGATTTTTCTTAGTCACTGTAGCTGCTCATTTGGGAAATTGATGAAAATAAATGCAACCCTAGAAAAAAATGAACTTCCTTGGAAATCTCTTACTTCAGCTAGAAAATGAAGATTAATTGACAGACTTGTATTATCGCAGGGCTGTGTGAAATGCATGAATTTCTGGGTTTTTCCTTTTTGTCAGGATAAAGGCCCTAGGGGATTGCTCATTTTGATGGATTTTCTATTATTTCTCCATCTGCCTAATTTGCAGTGAGAAACTCATTTTACAGTTCAAGGAATAAACAGGAACATATTGTTTGAATCCTGTAATTCCCAATTATAGTAAAAGGTAATTATACATGTATGTACTACAACAAAACATTTTTTTTATACATGACAATGGTTAGAATGTTTTCTTTAATTTTCCCTTTTATGCATTCACAATAGAAATAGAATCTCCAGTCTTATCACTAAATATAAGGTATTTATCTCTTGTCCACTGAACTGTTGATTGAATACCAGAGGAAAAATCAAAGGCAGTGTCAAGGCCTATGTGACCATTATCATATGAACTTGAATGTCTTCTTCAATATTTTTTTAATTTTTTCAACTGAAGATTTTTGATGAGTTTGAGAATAGAGATACATGCATGATGCACAAATACCAAGGGTGAATAATATACTACCATATTACATGAAGTTCTTTATAATGTAGTGTGCATAAGCCATGAACATAATATTCCATTCCCTGTTCACATTTACATATAAAGAGCCATCTTATAGATCTGTATATAAGTCATACATGTCTTACAATCAATGAATGTTTTTGGAACACAAGTTTTTAACACCACACGTAATTAAACATCAATAAATAAGGAATATTCCTGATTTTCAGCGCGTGGCATCCGTGCGTCTCCATTAAAAATTATATATTATTAATGAGTAGACTTTGCTTATTCTATATTTTTGAATAGGAAGCATTTTATTGGAGATATTGATTTCCTGGGTGAGATATAGCAGCATGTTGTAGCTAGCCCTGTGTGTATATTGATTCAGAAGTCTCCCTATACCGTATACATCTGTCTGGGACTGTGTTTACTCCATGTTAGTCAAATACAGTCCGATTTTAACACTGATTGTGCTTTATTGACAGCCAGATGTGTTTATTATTTCAAAAAAATTGGATTTGAATGTTATAGCATTTACAGGTTAGTATTTTATGAGTTAAGTGTGAGACTTATTATATTAAGCTTGTCTCCAGGATTCTTGGCTCTGCTTATAGGCATGAATTAAACTTCAAAACTTCTGATAATATTTTCTTTGCTATTTATTTAAGAATAAAATTTTTGCTGTTTGAAAAGGTTATTTCTTGATACTTTTTAACTGAAATGAATCTATAATAATGTTCCACATGATAGGTTTAATTTCTTGTCGAAATACAGGATGAATTGAAAATGCCATTCTGTAAGCTTTTAAAATCCTATATAGTGGGTATATATATAAAAGTAAATAAGTAAGTCCCTTTGAAGGGGTTTCTTCATATTCTGATAACATCATGATATCTCTCAGAAGAACAGCTGTTTACATATAAGACCCACTCCTCCATATGTAGAATGCTGTTACAGTCCGTGTCAAGTTCTTGTAGCTGTTTGTTAGAAGGTGGAACAATATACACTTCGTTTGTAAACGTACACAGGATTTAGATGTTATGTAATGCTTTTGATGCTTTGAAAAAGGCTAAATTTGATATTCTCATATTTGTTTCTTCATTGTATAAAACATTGAAATTTAATGAAAAAATTGAGGGGTGGATTGAGAGGGTGATTTTGAACATGTAAAGGAGCTTATATTGTTGTACTTAGTAACCTGAGGTAAGTGAATAATTGTAATTAGGGGATTTTTTCCTTTGTTGCCATTATAATTTTGCTGAATGTTGAACTTTGAACCTGGGTTCCATATAACTTCATATTTATGACCCCTCCTATAAAATATTAATAACAAACCTCTGAAGGATTTAAAATATTTTGACAGTGAAGTGGTTTTAAAGAGACCCTAGCTAGCTCTTCATTATTGCCTTATATATAAATTTAAGATGTTACTTGGCAGTTTAAAGTGAATTGGTTGGCATGTTTTAGTTTGCATCCTCTGGTGGCAGTTCATGTATATATATATATATCTGAATCATTGGTCCTTGTAATATGGCCACAGGCATGAAGTTTATGCATGTTACCTAGGGAATATGATAAATGAGTGATAATATTGAAACCATCAACTTTAACTGATGTAATGCTGGTATCAGTATATATGTTTGACATATCAAACAAACAACAATGGTATTTGAAAGATCTATTATAAACTAATTAACTGCATGTATGTTTTTCAAATAATGTTATGAAAGTATAAGGTCTTTAAAGAATAATCATAACATACCCTTTTCCATATCGCATCTTGCCTGAGATACTTGTGACAGACGAAGAGCCAATTAACTCAGGTTAAAAACTTGTATAAGATTAGAAAAGTTTTGTTAAAGTGTAACAAATTAATGTCTTTCAAACCAGTCAAAATTCTTATCCAGTTAATAAGTTTAGTTATAATCAGCAAATTCTTAGATTGATCAATAGGTTATTTTTCTTATTTTGACAGTTCTAAAATCCTCAAAAAGTAATACATGTATACATGGAATGAATGTAGCTATTGTATAAAGTAAATTGATTGTAAATGTAGCCTGTTCATGAGGTCAACCCGTAGATATATTGACTTCACAGAAAAACATATTGACTGAGCACTTCTGTCTATATCTTTATGGATCAACCTCCTAAGAGGGCTTTATTTGTATAATATCAATATTGCACAACTCTCTTTCTCGGTACATACTCAGCAGACAGGGCGTTAAGGTGGACACATTTAAAAATTAACCATGTTTGTTTTCCCTATCATATTTTAATTGATTTATGAATTACTGCCATATATGTGTTACATATGCCTCTTTAGTCTAAATACTTTTATCAATTAATGCATATTTCTTTGTTGTACTCCATTCTGTTTTCAGAGAGTATACAAAGAGATAAAGTATCAATTGTTTAAATACTTGACATTCGTAAAAACAAATTAATACTGGATGCCATGGGCAATGTAGTCACAGATTTCATTCAAGTAACATCTGTTGCAAAGTTGTGTATTGCATTGGAATAAAATCTAATAATAATTCATTGTACACATTTATATCAAAACATTGAGTTGGAGTAGATCTTCGCTTGGCGACTTTTACTCAATATATTGATGCAATGTATAACTTTTTCTAATCTATTTTGAATTAACTTCACTTAATTTCCAGATGTCATATCTAACAAATGGCATCCCAGCTGATAAAAATATTTAATGCTTTGAAGTCTCCAAACATTTCAGCACACTGGTTTAAATACATGTATTTAATTTTGTTTTAGTTACCAGGTTATACATCTCAAATACTTTAGTTAGTAAAAGATTGGGGAGTTAATTCTTTCAAAATACAATTTCACAATCCTGATCATAAACCTACCTGATCAAATTTTTTAACAGCAGTCTTCACGTAGGCCTATGACGTCCCGCTCTTGCCTTTTCAATTCATCTTTATTTATATGGTAAATTCTCTTAAAGGGATAAATCAGTCAACCTGTATATTTAGATATAAACCTGTTTTCATAATGTTTGTGTTTTACACAAGTCTTTTCTTCTCCACATTGAGTCACGTAACATAGTGTTCTTGATAATTTTGTCATTACCGCTTAATGTAACTGTTTTTGAAATAAATAAAGTATATACATATATGTCATTAATGATGTCAAATAAATGAAATTTATTCATTTAAATTTATTTATTATATTGTACATTGTATAACAACAAAAAAGACAATCCTTGTGAGACAAAAAATTGGTTGAGACCATATTTTAACATCATTTAAATGCTGTTTTTATATGCATATGACATCACCCTATAATATTTTTAACTTTATCAATTCATCAAGTAATGTTGGCTGCATAAAATATAAATTGAAACCAGACACATGCATTACCTATTTTGAAAAATGTATATCACTTTAAGAATAATAAAACACAAACTGTGTAAAGTACATTTTTCTGCGAATATAGTCCTTTAAAATTCAATGTGTCTTAAAAAAAGTTAAACCAATTTGATTCAAAGGAAGGACAATGTCTACTTTGAAGGGATAGTAAGAAAAAAATGATAAGTTACTTTATATATTAGATATGAAAAACATATATATTTTTACAGATTTACATTAGTTGAAGCCAGAAACCTATGTGTAAAAAAATGTGACTGCTTAGAATCTCGTCATTGTCTTAATATGAGTAGGAAGATACTCATCCAATACACTTATTAAAAACACTATACTTCATGGTAAGATTTTATTGGGTTTAATTTCCTGGCTATGCAAATATATGCCTTTATAATGAAGTAGACAACTGAGGTATTAGTCTGGAACATTAACAGTGTGTAATTATCTAAGGATTACAGAAAGATCTGCAGCTGTGCCTCAAAGTTTGAGACAGCATATCAAACAAATTTTTAGTTGTCATATTTAAAATCATCTCCCACAGCCAACATGTTGCTGGTAATATAATTAGATTTCTTGGATGAGGAAAAGGGAGTCCAGATTGAGACAAGGGTAAAATAAGATAAAAACAAAAAAGGTACAAGTTTATATCATCTTCCACTTGGTATTTCATGAGGACAATTACACCTATGTACACCTATGTAAGGAGTAAAACACCAAAAATAGGCATTCCTTAATTAAACCTTGGCAAGGCAGATTTCATTAAGATATTTCATAAAAAAAATTATTGGAAGTCAAAACAGTCGAATGGTTTATATTACAGTGTGTTTGCAATTTATGATTTTTTTTTTTTTTATGAAATTAAAGCTTAGACAATTTAGTGAATAAGGCTTATTAGATAACAATATCTGTCAAAATGGTCATGCCTACATGTACCACAAAAATTTTCACTGTGACTAAAGAATTGTGAATTGAAATTTGCTCATGGAATTAAGCATATATTCAATCTTCATGACGAGTAAATTAATAATCAGTCAAACCGTGTTCCTAATTCACTTGATGTGACAAATGCCATCACCGGATTTGTTTGGATCACTGCAGGTTAATTGTATAGACCTCTGCATTGCCATTGGTCAGCTATTGATGTTCAGTTTGTTCATCAGCCTCAAAGTTCTGATGCTGTCTTGCAGGTTTTCCGATAAGAGTTTAATACTATACAATTCATTCCTGTCTGGCATGCGATGGCTGGAGGAGGTGTAAACTGATGTAGGGCTCTGGAGAGGGAGAGTCAGCGGTCCAATCATTCTGGGTTCTGTGGACCTCTATGGGAGAAATCACTGGCTCGGGGGCCATGGATAGATGGGTGTGTCCTAACGACAGACATTTGGCCCTCAGGGCAAAGTAAGTACAGACATTTGGCCCTCGGGGCAAAGTAAGTAAACAGTTAAACTTCATTATCTTGAACAATGGAAGATCTATAATGATTTTAGCTGTGTTAAGTACTTTTTCTTAATGTTTTTTAACCTTATTATCTGGAATCCTTGGATAATTCAAATTTCAATCACTGTCTTTATGTGAGTTCAAGATAATTAGGTTTTACTGTATAATCCTGACATCTTTTATTGTAGAAAAAAATTAAAATCTTTTTGATTTTGAAGTGAAAAAAACTGGAAATGAAAAACATAATTATACAAGAAGAAATATATCCATAACCATTTAATGCACACTTTTTTATGAATATTTCCTATATATTACACTTAGTTATGCAAGTTTTACACTCCTTCAAGGGCATTTAAATAAGCAGTTTTCAGATCAATATGAGTTCCATTTACATTCCAATATATATGTAATGTGCATATTTTTGGAAACACAAAGAGTTTGATAAATTTTTTAATTTACATTTTCAGAAATCAATTGAAGCAGATGTTAAATCATTCTTACAAAATTTAAACTAGGGCACCGGCACAGAATGGAACATCAATTCGCAAAGAGTATATATATACATGTATATATTAAGGAAGGTAGCATTCGACATTGATCCCGATGCAAATTAAATTTGTCACTTATGAGACAAAACTAACGCCTCCTCCCACACATGTCAAGTTGTTTATTACTATGTCCCCTCGAACTTCATTGCAAGGAGATAATTAAACTGTATGGTTTTGTCAAAGTCTTCAAAAACGTGTCAATTAAGTAAGACTGTGCATTTGTTATATTGTCAGACTGGGAACAGGATGGTCAGTCCACACCAACAAATTGTCTACATTCCACAAAGGGGACCAACTCAGCATGGAAGAGCAGGAGCACATAATGAATGTCATCGCCAAGGCAGATTACCTCGATCAAGTGGAGCAGGAGAGGATAGGGTAATTATCTCCCTTGTATATGAAATCAGTCTTTACTCTGAAATTTTATAGCTCGATCATCTGAGCCAAAGGTTCAAGTGAGCTTTTCTGATCAAATTTGTCTACTGTCTATCGTGTATGTTGTTGTATTTGTCCCTTTTCACATTTCCAAAATCCACTGGGTCAGGTTTAAAAAAATATTAACATCCTTGGGTGAAGGGGATTTATGTTTGTTCGTCCCCTTTCAAAGAAAGGTAATTATAAATTAGTGAAATATTTTACTACATTGAAATACATATGTCAGCAGAATAATATCTTTAAAAATCCTCTTCTGTAGATTCAGATTTGTTTAACCACTCTCACAGGGATCCTGAGTCAACATATTGTCATTGAACCCAGGCTGGCTTATTTCATTCCATATTTCAGTTCATTTCAAAGGGGGAGTTTCGATAAGGCCGTTTGGACCATAAAAATAAATTTCAATTTATTTTTTCAAAATTAGTTTAGAATTAAAGATGAATATCTTAATTTTTGTTATTAATATTTTAAAAGTTAATATGAGATAAATTCACACCGTAGCCGACACAAACTTAGATGTACCCGCAAGTGCGTTAACATTAGGCCTATGGGAAAATATGTGTCGATTTTCAGAATATGAAGTGCATGAGGGACACTCACCTAGTTTTGCCCAGTTATTAGATATGCCCTGCACACTAATAGTTTACAATAGGATGAGTGTCGCGTGTGCACTTCATATCCAAAAATTGAAAATTGTCTAAAATTTGCATAACCTAAAATTAAACTTCATTATCAGGTTAAAAACAAAGGAGCACATTTTTTTTAAAATCAAAAATAATTGAAAATATTAACAATAGAATACTGTGTTATTTCTATACTTATTTTCATATAACGTTAACGTCTCATTTTTTTCAACTACACGGAACAGGGGGAGTTTTATGAATATCGTCGGCAAGCGTTCCAGTTAAATATTTTTCAAGTAGATATTTTTTTATATCAAATTTGACCATTAATTCCTTGTCATCTGTCGGGTTTATGCTGTGTTTTAAGCTAATATGGGTCGAGGTCAATGTTTTTAAAGTAATTAAAGTTTTTTTAGCAATGCCACTATAAGTACCCAGACATCTTTGTATTGATGCACAAAAAAATTAAAATCTTTTTGATGAATGGAGTAAAAGCTTGACTAAACATGCACCGATGATACATTTAGGGTTGCACATTACCAGAAATGGTAAAATTTTATTTGAACTGGAAATGAAAAACATTGTATCAAACATATATCAGGAAAAATATTATTTAGCCAAGAAGAAATCCTCCATTCTGCTAGAGAAGGTTCGTTATGTTTTTCCATGTGGTTGATATTTATGTAAGCACATTTTTTTTAAAGACTAAATGTTGATTTATATGTTTCTGCAGAATTTTGGTTTTAACACATTGGCATTTATAAATGTATTTTGATGGACAAGCACTTACTAAATGTACATATTACACTAGTTTAGTTGAGAACATAATGTGCATCTTTAAGTTGTTTTAAAAATACTTCCAACTTTAAGAATGAAATGGGCTATTTAAGTTTTTTTATCAGCAGTATTGCATTACCAATAATAGTTTACTACCTGCAAGTATAACCTGGTTTTAAAATTAAAAAAAAAACATGTAAATTCCAATATATAAAAAAATCATTGTAGCGAAACAAAATACAAATATGATCTATTACTGATCGAGGTTAACTCATTTTCAAAACTTAACACAATAGTCACAAGCATTTTGGGAAAAAAAATGACCCCCACCCCAATTTTTCCGCCAAAAATCAATGAAGCGGAACATTTAATTCAGCAAGATACACTTAATACTAAAAAGATTTTCAAATAAAAGTTTTCAAGCAAGCGATTATAGAGAAAAGTGCGGAAAACCAAATGGGGCACCAGAGGGCGGACACAGACAGAATACGGAAACTATCAATTTCACCGGCAAGACAACTAATTATATATATATATTGACTTTGTTTAATATATATCAAAATACAATGAACATTACAATGCATTCTTTTGAATATACTTTTAAAATAATATAAATATGCACCTGCATTTCAAATTACAGAAATCCATTTTTTTTTTCAAAGCATGGTTTAAAACTAGATTAAATAATTTTAATGTATAATTTCACAATAAATTTTGCGCTATAACTTTAGTTGCTGAAAATGTATTGCAAACAGTTCTAAACACCTGTAAATTACACTCAAAGTTGATCTATCTCATGTTTTTTTTCTATTTGTTTCCCCTCCGGAAAAACTGTTATAAATTGATTATTATGTTTAAATATAAACTGTCAGTAATTATAAATTCCTCTTGTAAACGTTTCTGTCTATTCTGTATATATATGCTTTATAAGTTAAATTCTCCCTCTTTCACAGAAAAGTTACAATTAAGACTCGAGAAAAATCTTGCAACTTAAAAAACATTCACATAAAATAATTTTTTTTAATTTTCTGTAGAAATTAATATTGAAATTGGTTATTTGATGTCTTTATACATTTGTCACATTTCATTTATGATTTGACGGAAAAAACAGGATCCCGTTTTAAATCTGCCACTCCTTAAATGAAGTGAAGGGGGTATACTTAAACTTTTATTTGTTACGTGACCAGAAAATGTGCAGTATAAATTATTTTCATATTTTTAGGAAGATAAGACATTTATCTACAACATATCACAATTTCATAACATTTCTCGAGGGGCCGCAAAACAGCCTTATCGAAACTCCCCCTTTGTGGGCTGACTGATGCAACATCTTTTTGAAAATTATAAATCTTAATTATACCCCCCGCAAACGAAAGGCAGATTCACCATGTCCGTCTGATCAAGTGGAGCAGTCTGTCTGTCTGTCGACGAGATTTTGTCCGGACCATTACTCAGAAACTATTGGAAGGATTTGTCTGAAAATTTGTACACATATTATTCACCATATGAAGTTGTGCACCTGGTATTTTCATCTTGATTGGATTATTATTTTGAATTTTACAGGTGTTTTTTCATTTTTATTTTGTGGTTTTGTCTGGACCGTTTCTCAGAAACTATTGCAAGGATTAATCTGAAAATTTGTACACTTATTATTCACCATATGAAGGTGTGCACCTGGAATTTTCAACTCTTTTTGTTAATTTTTTTGCATTTTACAGGTTTTATTTTTTATTTTAATTGACTTGTTCATTTTGGGTTCATGTATAAGGTTTGAGATATAGAATCTAGAATATCTGTTCAAAAATACTACAGCTTAAAACTACTCATAAAAACTTAAAAAAAGAAACATCATAAAGTGTTAAAAATAGTTTTTACATTGCACAGAAGATAATGTAATTTCATTTGTCTCTTGGGAATAATGACTGGACATGCATCCAGTTAAAGATAATTAATGAGTTTGGTGTTGGAAGTTGTTAAGGCATATCTCTTATCAAGTGTGTGTGTTATCTATCTCCAGGGAATAAGGCACAAATAAAGATCTCTCTTCTCTTATTCTCTTAATTGTAATTTATTGTCTGTCAAAGCACTTCATCACTGGATGACCAGCTCTTTATTTTCAAAATGCATTTCAAATTGATATATATCAAGATTAATTTGATTTTGTATAATGGTTTTTTTTCAACAATCAGTTTGCAGAGTGACATAACACATAATTGCAATATATTTATTTAATGCAGTAATAAAAAAAAAAATAAAATGAAAAAATTAAAACAAAATGTTACAATGGAATTACAATGTATTAGTTTTGATGTTTCATTTGGTTGCACCTTTGTTTCATTCATTAAGAAACATGATGAGCAATTGTATTTCACTGCAAATTTTTGTAAGTAAATTGTGAACACCTCTAGATCCATAAAGTATTTTTGAATTGGCACCTTCTCTGAAAAACCCAGCGGGGGGTATTTGTCCCTAATGGACAGTTCTAGTTGTTTTTCTTATCTCTCAACTAGTTACATCGAGATATTCTACGATAAACAACTTGTAACACGTGCATTTGAGGTGTGAACTGAAACCTTTTTGTTTACATTGTCTGACTGTTTATGAAATTGGAAAGCTTTAATTTGATTGGTACTTCTCAGTGAGAGAAACAAACCCTAAAATATCTAATGAAATATGCCAGGGGTCCAACAGCAACATGTCGATTCATGACCCCAGCATTGCGAGGATGTTGAGAATGGGTGGGGTTACAATAGGTGTCAGATCAAGGGTATACACAGGAATATATTACAAAAAAGTTTTTACAAATTTTCTCAAGAAAAGCAAATTCATGAATACCCATGTAGTCATTTTGATATGGAAGTATCCTTAGAGGGATATGATATATATTCAACCATTTTTTAATCAAAATTCTTTCAAAACTGAATTAAGCATGACAGTTTGGGGGAAATATGCTCTTCAAATAGTTCTTATAAAACATGTTGAATAGGGGTGGGACAATACACAGATCTTGCAATATGATACGTATCTCGATATATTGGCACGATACGATACGTATCTCGATATTTTGAAAAGTAATAAAACTATTTTAAAAAATTAGTATTTTATTTCATTTCTTGTCTTGTCATTAAATCAACATGATAAATTATAAAACTATTCAAAAGAATTAGTACTTTATTTTATTTTTTGCCTTGACATTAAATCGACAAATTATTCTATATCAAATCATGTGTGCTTTGAAATTAATACTTGAAGTTCATTAATATCATTCACTAAAATTTTACAAAAACAAAAATACATGTACATATTATTATTACCAAATTACTTTTAAGAAGTTGTTTACAAATAGTTGTGTAGTTCAGCAGAGAACACTGACTAAAATTCATTTAAAAACATCACATTTACATTTTTATTAATTGTTGAAAGTCTGTAGCAAAGCTGAGATTAAAAAAAAAAAAAGAGATGGACTAACAATTAATTATGTCAAATGCTCTGGAAACGATGCTTTCTGTGTATAGCACGCATTAAATACTGAAGTTTTCTTGTCCAATCTTCCGAGGCTGTTTAAAAGTGAAAACATTTTACCCCTAAACAACGACTTATTAGTTCTAAAGTGTGTTTTCAATAATCATCATCATCTCTTCGCTTCGTACAAGCCGCCATTTTCCAAGGACATGTACTTTCATTTTCAATTTTTGGATAGGTCGTTCGTGTATCGTTTCGTACCGATATTTGAATGCTTGTATCGTAAACCGTATCTTAGAGAAAAATATTGATATGTATCGGTGTATCGTTATATCGTCCCACCCCTAGTGTTAAAGTATTTCTCCCTTTTAATTGGCCTTCGTCATCCACACATGTCCTAAGCTTTGTGGCTCTGTTTCCTTTAGCCATCAATATGTCTATTGTTCAGAGTGTAGTCTATATGTAAAGCTACATAAGAATCTCTGAGACATTTCAATGGAGACAGATTTCTGAAGTGATGGTACAGCTGCCGTCTAGATGCATAATAATCTCCATCTTTATTGATAGAAAGTCAGTTATATAGCAGGGGTTTGACTGTCTGGGGCCGAGTTCGTTAGCTGTGTTACTGATTTTCTAACAAAAATAGCTGGAAAAGATGATTTAAGTTTTGTATTAAGATAACAATAATATTTTTGCTGTAGTAAGAAAAATCTTTTTCCTGATAATTAATTCAGCAGAAATAAGAATTGTTTCAAAACTTGTTTTAGAGTCAGCTAGGTTACGTGACTTAAAGGCATATATAAGTACTGTGCTGAAACTTTAGACTAAAATAAACTTTTAGTAATTTTAATCAATATCAATGGTAAATGCACAATGGAATTGTCTTTTTTGTCTGACATTGAGGAGTGTTTTCTTTCTTTCTAATTATCGTTGTAATTATCGGCTTTTGTGAGCTGAGTTATTTAGATGACTGTCTTAAGAGCCTGCTGTGCCACATGAAGTGTTTTTCCAACTTCTTAGTACTGGGTAATTAATTGTCTGTCAACAATTTTCACCTCTGATTCTTATTATCACATTTTGCCAGCAAGATTTATTACATTTTAATCAGTGTAATACTCTAATTTATCCATTATATTGAATAAAAGTGATGTTTTCGAAAGTGATATTTTTCAGGTTAAAAAAAATATCAGGAGTGATATTATTCACAGTGAAAATGTCAAAAGTGCAACAAAACATGAAATTTTAATTTCATTCTATGTTGTAAGATAGCAGGAGTAAATAAATAAACTGACGCAACCTAAGACTGCCAAAGTTTCTCCAAATTGTTATTATCCATGTTTACTTAACAATTTTCAGTCCCAAAGAGTGTTACATCTCACAACTGCTCAACCATCATGCATGATATCAATGGCTACAGTACAGTACATGTATTACTAAACGATAGATTCAAAAGGAAGCTAAAAAATGAACAGAAAATTCAATGTTTTGTTCTTATGATGTTTGCAATTACAGTGAAAACTGTCTAACCTGACACTGTTGACGTCAATTTTTTTTCTATTGTACTAGATTCCATAATTTTTTTTTACACTGTACAATCCGACACACTGTCTATTCCTAAACATAATTGGTCTCCCAGTCTGTGTCAGATTAAACAGGTTTCACTATATTTTTTGTTTGCCTAGTTCAGAATAATTCATTTTCCTTACTTTTTTACTTGACCCCACAAACTTTTATTGTCATAATTTTGTTTTCATTTCATATGAATTTATATGACCTCAAGTCTTTAGCCAAGCTACTCTTTCTGGCTGTTGTCACTAACCAGTTTTTCCAGTCCTTATAATGATGTACAGAAAATGCCAATTTGTAATTACCAACAATCTCACAACAAACAACCCTTGCAAAACAGTCATACAGAAATAAAGTTTGATGAATGATAGCAAATGACGTTTCTATTTTATTGGTACCCATTTTCTTGTACAGTTTACTACATTAATTTTGATTTTGGGATATAATAAATTGATGGGTTTTTTTTAAATCGATAGAACCACTTGATAGTTGTAGTAATGGACCACTGCATCATCAGAGAATCCCCCGTAAAGCTGAATTTTGTCCAGACCTAATCAATTTCCATTAAATCCGAAGTCTGATGGGTGTTACCAAGATGGAAATTAGACTGACATTGATTTATTGAAGACTTTCTGATATCACAAGACTGTAGTTATTACATCATAATAAAATGTTTGGAAATGTATTGATTCTGTAGTTTTGTCTGTGGACAAATCAGTCAAGTTATAAAAGGAATGACATTTGCATCAGTAGACCTTGTATTTTTTTTTTCATGACTTTAGACATACAGATAGATTATTTCTCATAAAGAATTAGTTTTGTGAAATAATAATAATATATATATATATTAAAAGCTTATTTCAACCTTTAATATCCATGATGAATGGAGAAATCTGATCTTGTTTAGTATTTGTTAATAGAAGCTTTTAAATGATGCAGAGTGTATCTGATAACAAATACATTTCATTATTTCTAATGGTCTGACAATTTGGGATTAGTTATAATGGCCTTACAATCAGTGGTCCATATACAAGCCCTTATCCTCAACCAGTGAATCCCTGCCTCTACTAAATAAAATACCATATGACATAGGTGAATAAATATATGCAAGGGTTGTTGCTAAGACCCTGGGTCTAGAGAATTTCCCAATAACATGAATGATGCATTTCCCAGATTATTTTGTTATTCCTCCTCAACTCCCAAAAAATTCTTTTTTAAAAAAAAAAAAAAAAAATGAAATTATTTCTTTTTCATCATATTTTATTTTTAGCTCAGACCGAATAAACAACATTGTACCATTTTGTAGGGTATATTTCTTATAGTTAACTGTAGATTTTATGATACTTCAGAAACCTGTAGTTAAATTAATGTGAATATGCTTGTATATGTATTTTGTAGTCGTTTGGTTGAAAAGCTGGACAACATGAGGAAGAACGCGATGGGGAATGGCACCACCCAATGTATACTGTGTGGAGACGAGTTTGGTCTGCTGGGGGCAAGTCCCACCCACTGTGACGACTGTAAAAACGTGAGCACCACTGTCATATAGGTTACAATGAAATGAATACCTTAAAAAATAAACTGATTTTATACTTCAGTTTTCTGATTTCTGGTTTAAATTTTAAATTTATAACGTTATTTCACTGACAACTATAAAGCTGAAAGTTAATAAACAACTTAACTGATATAGAATAACCTGTTATTGCATTGAAAGTTTATTGTTTACCTTAAAAAATGTGTTTTTATTTGATAAATTGGTGATTTTTATGCGCCCGGATTGATAGATCCGAGGCGTATATTGTTTTTGTCCTGTCTGTTTGTTTATCTCTTTGTCTGTTTGTCTGTCTGTCTGTTGTTAACTTTAACCTTCGCCATAACTTTTGAACCATGAGAGATAGAGACTTCATATTTGGTATGCATACTCTACCAATGAAGCTCTTTCAAAGGACATCAAGGTCAATGACCGTGTGACCTTGACTGCGACCTATATGCTAAAAATAGCTTTTTCGAACTTTTGCCATAACTTTTGAGCCATGAGAGGTAGAGACTTTATATTTGGTATGCATACACCACTAATAAAGCTCTTTCAAATGACACCAAGATCACGGCCTTGTGACCTTGACTGACCTATATGCTAAAAATAGCTTTTTAGAACTTTCACCATAACTTTTGAACCATGAGAGATAGAGACTTCATATTTGGTATGCTTATTTCACCAATTAAGCTCTTCCAAATGACACCAAGGTCAATGACCTTGTGACCCTGACTTTGATTTATCTGCTAAAAATATTTTTTTGAACTTTGTTGCCGCTGGGCAAACACAAACACATCTTGTTTTTTATTTTCTGGAGGGAAAATAATCAACTATTTATTGATTAAATTTGCTGCTAATTAACTCTATGCTGATATTTTTTTTGTTTGTCACAATGTATCTGATAATTCATCCTTTATTTTCAGGCTGTTTGTACAAAGTGTGGAATAGACACCTTTAATAGCAATAAACAGCAGCTGTGGCTATGTAAAATCTGCAGCGAGTACAGAGAGGTCAGAATGGATTTTCACATTACCTTTTTTGAAAGTTAAAAAAAATTTGATCAGAGAAAGTCTGTGTTAATACAGTTAAGCAATGAATTTTAGTGGGTTTTAATTCATGTTGTTACTAAAATTAAAGGAATATGCCCACCAGGCCTAGACAAAGTAAGAGCTTTCTTCAAATATTGAATCCAAGATTGACCACTCTGCATCACACTTTTTAAAATTTTGTCATATTTATACATATATTTTCTGATGCTGTCACCTCCTTTAAAACTTCTACGACAATAAATGCAAGGATGGTTTTGATACCTGTAACTTTATGGTGCATGATTTCTTTCTATCTCCAATATTCCATAAATGTGAGAGGGAATTTGAAGCTTAACCCACATTATTAACCCACAAGTGTTAATTTTGATATATTTATTGCATTGCATTTTATAAGTGAATAGAGTCGTTCAATATTGTCATTTAGGTTTGGAAAAGATCAGGAGCTTGGTTTTTCAAAGGAATTCCAAAATATGTCATACCAGAGAAAAAGTCTGAAATTTCAAAAATAGGAGGTCATAAAGGTCAAAGAGAGTTACGGGGTTCACTGAGGTCACGACCTGGGTCTGGCAGAGGTTACAACACGTGGAGCAGGGGAAGGGCAAGTCATGGTGAGGCATAGAGAAATATAGAGGGGGAAGGGGGTCAGTTGGGGGGAAGGAGGACAACATATAGTAGACTAATGATAAAAATTTTGTATTTTAGCAAGTTACGGAGAAAGCAGTGATCAGGAATCAACCAGTAGCTCAGATGACGAGGTTAGCATTGGGAAAAGAAAGACCGTCAAACGCTCAGGTGACTCTGGAGGTGAGAAGAGAATCTCAATATTGCTGGGTGGTCTATAAGGCTTGACTCTGAAACAGCTACGGGAATACTGAGACCTCTTCTTCTAATCACTTTAGGGCCTTCCTCTTTCCTTTTTAGCTCACCTGAGCCAAAGGCTCAAGTGAGCTTTTCTGATCACAATTTATCCGTTGTCGTCGTCGTCGTTGTCGTTGTAAACTTTTTACATTTTCAACTTCTTCTCAAGAACCGCTGGGCCAATTTCAACCAAACTTGCCACAAAGCATCCTTGGGTGAAGGGGATTCAAGTTTGTTCAAATGAAGGGCCTCACCCCAATTCAAGGGGAGATAATTGGGAATTAATGGAAATTTGGTGGTATCTTTTAAAAATCTTCTTCTCAAAAACCACTGTGCCAGGAAAGATGAAACTTATGGGGAAACATCCTCAGGTAGTGTAGATTCAAGTTTGTTCAAATCATGACCCCCGGGGGTAGGGCGGGGCCACAATGGCCGACCAAAGTTTTACATAGAAATATATAGGAAAATTCTTTAAAAATCTTCTTCTCAAGAATAGCAAAGCCATAATTGATCATATTTATATGGAAGCATCCTCATGTAGTGTAGATTCAAATTTGTTCAAATCATGACCCCCAGGGGTAGGGCGGGGCCACAATGGCCGACCAAAGTTTTATATAAAATGTATAGGAAAATTCTTTAAAATTTTCTTCTCAAGAGTAACAAAGCCATTATTGATCATATTTATATGGAAGCATCCTCAGGTAGTGTAGATTCAAGTTTGTTCAAATCATGACCCCCGGGGGCAGAGCGGGGCCACAATGGGCGACCAAAGTTTTACATAGAAATATATAGGAAAATTCTTTAAAAATTTTCTTCTCAAGAGTAACAAAGCCATAATTGATCATATTTATATGGAAGCATCCTCATGTAGTGTAGATTCAAGTTTGTTCAAATCATGACCCCGGAGGGTAGGGCGGTACCACAATGGCCAATCAAAGTTTTACGTAGACATATATAGGAAAATTCTTTAAAAATCATCTTATCAAGAAAAGCAAAGCCATGATTGGTCATGGGACTACTTTTGGATATAAACTATTCAATAATAATCCAATTTCTACTTTTTCCAAGCCACAGTGCTCAGGTGAGCGATGTGGTCAATGGGCCTCTTGTTATAGTCAGCCTTTGTGAGCTGTATGCTTGGATGTTATGCATTATATTGATATATAATATATTTGATTTTGAACTCATTCTGATTCATTCTGGTTTCTGTATTCTTTAGATAGTTTCACCTTTACTTTCTTTTTCATTAGGATATAGTACAGAAATCTATTATTTTTGCTCCTTTTTGTGGACATATTATTATTTCTTCTCATATTTTATGTAAAATGTCATTTATTTTTTATCAATGGAAATACATATGAGTGAACATTAAGAAAAATGAATTATGATAATGTACAAAATGAAAAATAAGCAAAAGAAAAAAAATTCTGGTTTAGAATGAATCATTTTTGTAAATTATCACAAGCTTAAAGAGATCAGTTTATTAAATGACTATTTTTTTTTTACCTCATGAATTGAATGCAGATTCAGTGTACAATGTATTATCTTTTTTATTTTAATCAAAATTTGTTGATTTTTCTTAGTTTGTTTTCCTTATAACATGATTTTATTCTGAAAATAGGATGTAAAAATTTTTATGATCCACAGTAATCACTTACTGTGTTATTTGTAATAAGGAATAATTTTGTTGACTTTTCAGAGAGTGACAACATCAGTATAACAAGTTCTACCAGTGGTCAGTATTACAGTAACCATGTGAACAAGGAGCAGCGCCCAAGCATCACCAGCAGTAACTATTACGGCGGCCATCTTAGTGCCACCGAGAGTAGTCGTGGTGATGATCTCCATGACGACACAGACAATGAAAGTATTGGAGGTAAGGCACAAAACACTAGTTATAAAACTTTTAACTCTTTCTTTACAGTAAGATTGCAACTTTAACTGATTTTCCTAGCTTCGGTACTAAGTACTCAAAAAATTCTATACATATAAGCTCTACTAAGTCTGCTAGCACACTTTGTAATCTGTTTAAAATTTATTACTGGATCTGTGCTTTGTAGCAATTTTACATAGCTGCGTTTTTTTTAAATCACCAAAAAAACAAAAACATCCTAAATCTTTGATATGTTACAAAATAAAATGGTTCTAATTCAGGGGCTAATTTTCGTATATATATTTGTTGATTTTGCATTGAGAAATTCAAAAAGTATTTTCAGTTTGAATTTCCAATTATCATTTTCTTATACATGTATCCACAGTTTATTCTGTGCTGTTATGTTTACATAATACATGTACATTTAATACACGTGACAGGTTTTTCCCTAGAGAATAGGTGGTTTATGATAGTTGGGACTGCATATCATGGACTTGCTCTCGTGGTATTTTTTGTCTACTTTTGCGTTTTCTCCTCCATTGTGAAAGAGAATTAATATACTATGAGTCACTGACTGTATGTGTAGATAGATGGATTTATCCTTTTTATTTGGCTGAAATATCCAAAAACCTGAGACAAAAAAGAACATAACATTTTATTGCATTTTTATCATTCGTTGTTCTATCACTGATATTGAACATGATCTAAGAATTTAAAATGCTTGAGGTAGGAACTTTTTTCAGGGTAAGTTGTCAAAATGAAGTTTTATTTACCAATACTGTGATATCCCCGATTTTAGTAGGGATGTAATTTTCATGGTTTTATGACATAAAGAGAACCACAAATTCATGCCCCCCATTGAATTGTAAAATTTCAAATATTTAACGTCAGCCACAAAATCATATCCCTCATCAACCATCAATTTTTCTCAAGAAAATTTGATGCCATGAAAATATGGGATTTTAAAGTAATTGTTCCTTCACTTGTTGGAATTTCAGTTTTGTCAATGAAACATATGGAGATAACAGACAGCTAGTATTCAAGATCAAAAGTCCATAAAACAATACAAAATAGGAGCAGAGGAAACACTGACCTTCAAAACATAATTCATATTCAAATATTCAAAGTATCTGAATACCCGGTACTTACATATTCATATATTAAATTAACAAAATATGCATTATAGGCTGAACAGCTTTTCCTCAATTTTATTTTGGCACCTTGTTTGCTTTTCAATGACTACTCCATACTGCTTTTCCGTGACTGGGTTTTACTATAATTAAGTTATATATGTTATTTCGTTTTTGATGCTGCCTTTTCACGATTTTCAATGGTCACAATTAGCAATTAACATCAAATGGGAGTTGATATTTACCAGTTTTTTCCATGTAGTGTTCTATTCGGTAGTGAGTACTATTAAACTCATATTGTGAGTTTAAAAGAAACTGAATGGATTGCACATTTTACACATGAATTTGGTGCTTGCATTGAAATATGAAAGCATAAATATTCATTACATCAACTTTTTGAAATCCAGAACAATGCTAATGTTTTCAGTCATTGTTTTATTCAGTGTGCATATGTTTTTAAATGAATGTTCCTATTTAGTGTTTTACAAGACTGATCTTGCTTAAAATCTAACTTCCACATCCCAGTGATAAAGGGCAATAGGTTTCATCTGTCTAACAGAAAAGGTACTGAAAAAAGTAAAGGAAAAGCAAAAAATGTAATAACAGAAAAGCAGTTTAACTTGTAGTGGAAAATGCAGCATTTTTTCCCCTAGAAAAGTGCTGCCAAATCACGGAAAAGTGAAACTGTAGCATCATCCTACTCATGACAGATTTTGTTGTGGTATTTAGATGTAAAATGAATAAACATCAGTATAACAATGTGTGGCAAGTTTCATTAAAATCCAAGGTCTAGTGTGGCACACTCTATATAAAAGTTTCAATGCTTGCAGAGAATGGCTAAAAAAAAACAACAGTGCATGATGTCAAATTTGATCGTATAGAGATTCCCCCCAAACCTGTAACTTTTAATACAGATATTAATGCTGTTGTTAGTTAGAAGAAAGAATATTATGTGTGAATGGTTAAAACTTAACAAAATGAATGTTGAAAGGCATTGGTACTTGGGTATATTTATAGGGGAAGCTTTCTTCTCACACTTTAAGCATTAATTACCAAGTTCCAGTATGTTTTTATACAGTATTGTGTCAGATTGGACCATTTATTGGCTTGCACACACATTAAAAAATCACACAAACTGCTCAGATTGCAGAATATGATATGCAACTTATGTTAAGAGAAAAATCGGAATTAGGCAGATGTAATTAAAACATTCATAAGAGTCTACTCAATCTTTTCTGTATTAAACATCATGTTTTTAGCACATATTTTGCTAATTGCTTCTGTTCCCCTTTCCCCTTTTATCTCCCTGTGAAATCCTTTGGTGGTGGTCTTATGTCTTCTTTATTTTGTTGCTTTCGTAGGCGTTTCCTCTACTCCACGACATCACCATTCTTCTACCCCCCAGAGCCATCAGCCTGCTCGAGACAATCGTTACCGATATCATTGACCTAAGCTTCACCATGACTGTGACCCGAAATTTTACCTGTTGGACAGCTTAGTCTTTGATGTGTTTTATATTTCCTTGATCCTGGTCTGACTGCTAAAATCATGAACTGTCTTGGTGTAGCTGATATTATGTGATAGATTCAGTGGAGGAGTTTGTTTTAGTAACAATAGTGGACAGAATTTATAAATTCTTTTCATTGATCTGAAGTATCATTTGTTACAATATGAGTGTTTATTTATTGAAAAATGTAACAATTGCTTCATTTGAAATCATGGGAAAAAATGCTTTATGAATGAAATTGCACTAAATTGCAAAATTGATCCAGAATTTTATCATATCACAAAGCTGTAATATACCAAGAAAATACAATTTCTCTTTGACTCTCTCCACCTGTGAATAAGTCGAGCCTGAGGTAGTGTATGGAAACACTTAGTCTGTCTGTCTGTTGTACTTTTAATCTGTGTTCTGTAGCTAATTAGTCTGTGTTATTATCTGCAATATCATGTATTCCTCTTCTATGAATTCCTTTGTATTTCTAGTCTTTTAGTCTTTTTTACAAACCCTACCCTCCTTGTTCCATTTTTGTTACCCCTGTAGCATGTTTGCAATCAGCAAAACACACACATTAATCAGCTATACTCAGCACATATTACAGGGAATATGATATCCTTGCACTGCTTTATTTAAAAAAGTATTTTCACCCTACAATTTTTTTTAATAAGTGCAATATATATATATCTGGTTGTAGTATTAGACCACAAAAAATGTAGACTCTGATTGTGCTAAAACTGAAATTTTCTAACAATTAAAACTTGCTTCAATTAGTTTCTTTTGCAGCTATAATATTTAACCTTCTGGTAATCGTCTCCTTTGATTAACATGTAAAGTTCTTAAGTTTTGTTTTATGACCCACCTCTATTGAGCTGACAGGATTGGGGTAAGAGTAAGAATTGTTGACTTAAGGCATAATAATGCTTATGGATCAAATATACACTCTGTCAGAAATTAAAAACATCTTTAAATAGCAATAGGAATCTATGTACATGTAATTAGAATAGAGTGAGAGATTACTCTGTAGAATCAAAATTTTGTTTAATATGTGTTGTCATGAAAATAATGGTATAGTACATGTGTACAAACTACTAATTCAGTTTAATGATAAGCAAGTTATTTTATCATCCGTCTCGCAATTCATTGAAATTAAAAAGAATGCTAATGCATGTAATATCCAAAAGAAACTGTGTATAAAAACATACATTTATGAAGGGGCATAATAAACTTCACATTTTAATTTATAATTATAGTGTACTAAGTTATTCTTTTTGATATCATGTTAGTGACAATCGTGCAATATTTTTTTGTATTTCAATTTAAGGCTTGCATTTTGTACATTTGTCTTGTTGAATAAATCTGAATTTTTTCAGCCTGCTTTTTAATCAATGTAGAATCCTTTGGATACTAGCTTACTTAAAGTATTGGCTTTTTTTGGAAGAAGCTTTCATGATCAGAAAGAGTATCAATGACACAATTCATGGCTTTATAATACATAGACTATTAAGGAAACTCCTATTTACTTGTAATAGATATACATATAGTCAAGATGAGTGTAATTTATTTAAGTAAAATAAGACACAATTTAATATTCCGAGTTATAGCCCTTGGAAGGTAACTCTTGACAATTTAACAAAATAAGAGACATGCAAGGACCATTTACAGGAAATGATTACCAAATGGAATTTCAATTTTTAAGCTATTATCAGAAGAAAACAAATAAATCAATACAGAAAGAAGGTTAATGACAGACATTATATATATATCATACTCTACATTTAGCATTTACTTAATGATGTGTATTAAACATTAAACAGTTTCGTTTTACTGTATTTTGTTAAAAGTGTGAATTATTTGAGGAAACGATACTTAGATCAGTTTGAGGTTGTCGTCAGTCGTTTGTTCATAAATAATGCATGGTACACAAGACACATTAGTCTAGTCCTGACACTAAACTGATCAAATTACTGCTAACGCACTGAGATGTAGAGATTTTTACATTTACAGAAAGGTTGTGGTGAAAATTAGGAGACTTAATATCGATGAAAAAATGCTTCATTCAACATTGGTCATTATTATCTGGGACAAAGGCACAGAGAGCAATGCTCAGAAATAATCGAAGCAATTGCAAAATCGAGATTCATTTGCAATGGAAACATTGTACAGAAAAATACATCAACATGCCATTATTGATTTTTTGTATGTCTATTAAACTTTGCAGTTGATTATAAGCTATTTTAAATAGCTTCATCAGCAATAGAAAATGCTAGCATTCTCTAATCATGTATTCTTCTTCCTACTCACCTAATCAAGCCATTCCTTGGAATAAGGACTGTGTTAACATTGAATGACATTTAGAACTGTATTTTTTAAGTTTGGATAATGTTCTTGTTTTTGCTCACTTAATTTAAATAAATGTTTTATGGTAGTTGTATAATGAAATAGGGATATAACTTTAGAGTTTGAAAAGATCTTTTGTTTAAAGTAGAAATATATTTTTATGGACTATTTTATGAGTCTCAGCAGAGATAATTTTGCATTTATATACCGGTAGTATATCCTGTTGAACAAGACATTTTCTACAAGGCTTACATATCAGACAGCTGAGGGGTCTTTCTTAGCATTTAAATCATTTAAGTTAGGCTTATGGATTAAAAAAAATTTAATACTTTCTAGATTTAACCTTAATGTTGATTTAATGCAACATTAAGAAAGAATTTATCCATTAATTATGCATTTCTTTAGGTTTTTTAATGGTAGGAAAGTTAATCATTAAAGCATCTATTCTTATTACCAAGAGTAATCATAGAAATTATATGTATGGTTGTCATTTTAAAACTTAGATGGTGTGAGGCCTCATGGGACTAATGGGTCACGTGACCATCAGCCTCCAACCAGACCTGTTGAAGAGGCTGACATTGATGATGCTTTTACCAAATATGGAAATAACCACACCCATTCAGATGACCACGAGGACAACCTATCTTCTCCTGAGAGTCCCACGGGGGGTATGAAAAAACGAAAATTTGAATTGGAGTTTTTATAAGAATAAAACTAATTGTATGTATTAAAAGATGCCTTTTGATTTCTAAAGCCTCTAATTACCAGGTAAACAAACTTGACACGTGTTTTTTTTTCTGCAGTATTTGATGTCCCTGTTTCATTGAAATATTTTGTATTTTAGGGTCGTTGGGAAGTTTAGAGATGTCGCTACTTTATGATGCAAACAACAATGCTCTTCACTGTACCATTGTCAGGGCTAGAGTAAGTAGCAAGTTTTATGTTTCTTTGTATAACTTAAATCAATATAAATGTTCATGTTATTTGAATTAATATATATTATTTATTTTTGAATTTTTTTTGTCATGTAGGGACTGAAGGCTATGGACTCTAATGGTCTCTCTGATCCTTATGTCAAACTCCATCTACTTCCTGGTGCCAGTAAGGTAGGGAGCCAAATAGTTAATGGCCACAAAGGGAGAAAACTCTTGTAACATACCATATGAGGTTATACAGTTACTGTTACTGTTGATTCTTATGGTTTAATGTCTAGTATGTTGTAATTTAGAGAAAAAATACATTTATTTTATAAAACACACTGCAGATGGAAAATAATAAATGATAAAATGCTTTCTTTTATTTGAAGTCAAACAAACTAAGAACAAAAACAATACACAAGACTCTGAATCCTGACTGGAATGAAACATTGACTTATTACGGCATCACAGAGGAAGACATGATTAAAAAAACTCTCAGGTAAAACACACCAATCATTTCATCAGGAATATGGATTATAAATCTCTGTATGTTTTCCAAATGAAGAATTTAGTGTTTCCTTGTCACAAAGCTTGAAATAAAAATGGAAGCTTTTAAAGTAAAGTCTTTTATGAGATTTTATGTTTTTTTGGATTAATATGCTGAATTTTTATGCTTACTGTATTTGCTAAATTAATAGGTTAGCTGTACTTGATGAGGATGCCTTTGGGTTTGATTTTATTGGAGAGACCAGAGTTCCTCTAAAGAGACTGCAGCCCCATCAGACTAAACACTTCAATGTCTGTCTGGAAAAACAAATCCCAGTAAGTGGATTAGTGATTCTGTAATTGATCAGAAAATGGAATTAGGTGCAGTTTTCTTTGTAAAACATCTACTTCAGGAATTGATTAGGGAGCAAGGTAAATGGAACACACTGAATTCTAAAACCGCAAACTGAGTCATTCATAGCTAAAGACGTGTTCAGGAATATATGTTCCAGATAGTTAATCTGTTATTAAAATTGCTATTTTAATACTTTTGAGTAAAAAACTGTGCACAAATTAACGGCCCCTGAGACTATAATGGGGTGATAGTGGGACTCAGCATTTGTATGGGAATGCTTAGGAAAAACCGTTCAAAATCATATCTCTAAATAGCAGGGCCACAAGCAGTCATATTAGACAAATTTTGTAATAGATGACTATTCTTCCAGACTGACAAGGATGACGACTTGCTGTCACATGACAGGGGTAAGATCCTCCTGGGACTGAGATACTGCACGTCCAAGCAGGCCCTGGTAGTGTCGGTGGTCCGATGTGCCGAGTTAGCAGCGTGTGATACAAACGGATACTCGGACCCTTATGTCAAACTGTAAGTAATTTACTATTAACCCATAGCCTCGTAGTCAGCTGTTAGTATTATAAATGTGTATTATAAATGATACCAATGGATACTTGGACCCTTATGTCAAGCTGTAAGTAATTTACTATCAAGAGATTCACTCATACCCTTGTAGTCAGCTGTTAGTATTATACGAGGGGTTACCAAAAAGTTCGTAGACTGAGGCTATAAAATTAGTACTATGTAGTCTGTGCTTTCAAAATTTGTGTGGAACATAAAACAACAAAAAATAAAGAAATGTTGAAAAATTTAGCCTGATACGTTAATTATTTGCCAAATTATTGTAAAATGAAAACGACATTATATGATCACTCGGCGCTGTCGTCATTTATTTTCATGACGTCCGATAACGTCATTGTTTTTTCAATGTCCGTTTCTTCTACCGCATACACTTTTTTGATGAGATTCCCTGGAACTGAGTAAGGACTTAAACCCGCCTTGTATATATTACTTTACAATGTCACGAAAAGTGGCCTTCAATGAATATAATTAATATTCAAAATGGGTTAATACATTGGGAGAGATCCGCGCTTGTTTGTGCCAGCCTATTTTGCTTTTGGGAGTTCAATATCTACACACGATCAACGTCATTTTTTGACGTGATTGATTTTTCACACCTTGACTGCAAATCGGCATTAACTGTGTATCCCTTTTCTCTCTGAATCTATTTTGACATTAAAAGACAAGTTCTCTGGATGCATATTATTGCTCTATAGCCAGTATCAACATATTTTAGATTTATACCAGTTTTTTCAGGGGCAAAACTTTATAGAATGTTGGAGACGGAAACCCCTCCCCCCTTTTGACGTCATTTTCAAGGCCTCATTTGTTTGTTCATTCCGTGTAAAATTTACGATAAAATTTCATAGGACTTCCAGAATGAAGTGAAAATTTTATATGTTATGGAACAATTGTATCCCCACCCCACCCACCCCCCCCCCCCCCCCGAATTAACGAGAATTTTGGATGTCAAATGATCATATCAAAAGAGTTTTTCTCAGTTACACATTGGTCGTAAAAACGTCGTGTTCAAGATTGCGCCGCCTGGACATACCACTGCTGACAAAACATTTGTAATTTATTAAAAAATAAATTTTATGATTCATGGTTTATTCTTTAGATAGAAAAGATGATGCTAACTAGATATTTTAAAATTCATTGATGTACCTAAAGCGGTTTTAATTTTATGACGCTAGTCCACGAACTTTTTGATAACCCCTCGTAAATGTGTATTATAAATGATACCAATGGATACTCGGACCCTTATGTCAAACTGTAAGTAATTTACTATCAAGAGATTCACTCATAATCAGATGTTTAAGTATTATTATTTTGATTCAAGTGTTACCAAAGTAAAATCCTTTATTTTAGGTACTTAAAACCAGACCCCGAAAAGAGGTCCAAGTTTAAAACAGCAGTTAAAAAGAAAACTCTAAATCCAGAATATAATGAGGTAAAAAAGAATACTGTACACAGGAAAAATTTCACTCCTACTTTATTTTCATCCTCTTTTGTCCTCTTTATGGTTGGGGGAATTTATAACATGGCAAATTCAAAGAACAGAATAATTTTTGAAACAGAACTATGACTGGGCAAATATAAAAAGTGACAAAATACTTTGCAAGTGCAAAAAATGACAAGGGGCAAAAATAACCCTGTATACACCATTCATTTTGTAGAAATTCCTTAACATACAGGTGGAATATACATCTTTCTTTTTATGCTCTAAAAAGAATTCATGATAGATAAGAAAAGCAACCAGTCAATTTTTAAAAATATGGATTCAATAAATATTCATTGACATATAATCATCTTGTGTGACTTTTACAGATTTTAAAATTTGTTTCTTTCAGGAATTTATTTATGAAGTTAAGCATAATGAACTAGCTAAGAAGACCCTAGAGATTACTGTTTGGGATAGGGATATTGGCAAAGCTAATGACTTCATTGGTAAGGCAATACAGTCAAACAGAATCAAATGGAATTGGAGGGTATATTGATAAGCAAAGAAAATATATCATTGATATGTACACCAATTCTGCAGCAGCTTCATTTATGCTGTCATAGATAAATTTGAGTATTTAGGTGGTGTTCTAGATAAAGTTGAATATTTAGGTGGTGTTATAGATAAATTTGAACATTTAGGTGGTGTTCAGCTTGGAATCAACTCTAAGGGGCACCGCCTGAAGCACTGGTACGATACCCTGAAGAACCCTGACCACAAGTTTGAGCGGTGGCACACCCTGGCAGCTGAACTTATCCCCGAGGTTTAAATCAGTACCCACCCCCACCCTAATTACTGTTGTGTTGTGAGTTTTTTTTATTTTTTAATCCTTGCATGTATTCTTTAATGAGTAAACATAATTATATTTTTTCATGATGTCCAATTATTGATCTCCAAACACAAATGATTTTATTTTGAGCTAGTTATTTTGCATTAATATTCTACTTAAAGTTTAATATTTTCCCCAGTGTTTAGATAAACACACATCCCTACATTTTTTTATTATTAGAGTTTTCAGTAACCCTTGCTTTGATTTTGATATTAATGTATTCCACAAAATGGTATATATAAGTGTGGTAAACCTATTATTCATTAAGGATTACAGCTGAATGATCAAATCTAGACCTTGATTGAAAAATGTAGTATTTCTAATGTAGTAAAGGTCCAGAACATCTTATATACGTCTATAGTGACCCTGGATCAAGGTTTTAAATGAAGGGCACATGATCACAGTAACTTATAAGTATACATTAACATATAATAGTAACAATTTTGTCAGATGATTTAATACATATTTGTTTTTTTCTTGCTTAAATTTTAAGTGAAATTTAGCAGGATTTTTATTTGTAGATATTTCTTATATCAAATGCAAGAATATCGTAGTTAAGAACACATTGATAAATCTTACTAAGCATAAAATTGAAGAAAACCTATTACACTTGTCTTTTAGCCTGATGTTTACTAGGAGACATAATTGGCTTGTCCAGCACACCCTACTAAACAGAAGACAAGAAGTAGCAGTTCTCCATTGTTATGTATCAGATGTTTTAGAGTACCACTTTATTGTATATGTGTATTTTCTCAAATTCCCATTTACAAACAAGTACATATGTACACATTTTTCAAAAATAATGTTAAAATCCTCTTCTGATGTCCCCTTTTTGTAACATTTTCTTATCATTTTTCTTCTTACCACAGTCTTGTAAAAATTTAAAGTGCAGCTAAAATTTGATATCTCTAACATTGACAAAAACAGGTTTGACTGTAATTATTGCTGTCCTACTGTATTGGGTTTTTCTAACTAGGAATTTGATATTAATGAAAATATTAAAGATATCAATACAAAATTCATTCACACATTATTATTTTTCCCAAGCAAATCATGATTTTTTTAATTTGATATTTACAATGTTTTTAGTGCAATATTTTTTTATTTTTCCAGTGTAAGACTTTTAAGTCTGTACTGTTCTTGTAACTTTAACTTTGATGTTCTCTAATTATTCTCATGACCTTTTTTGGATATTTTTAATATTAGCAAGGGAAATATTTCCTATTGTCACAACTTTTTCATAATATATATATAAATAATATACATACACAGGATATGAATACTTACTGTCTGGAAATCAAAGAAATCTTTCCATATTTTCTTTAATATTTTTTGAACATTTTTTGTAATTAAAAATCTTGAAAGATCTGTTTTTGATACTGTTTCCTGCTCAATGTGAATTTCTGTGTTGTCTTCCGATACAGCAGGGCTATGATTGGTAGGATCCTATCATATGATGCCTTACTGTTTAATGGTTGTGAATTTCATGTATTTATAATGTCATTGTTATAAAATGTTCAGATCTAAATGTACAATGTATTAAATTTATCAACACTCACCCATCTAGAAAAGAAAAAAAAATCTTTAAAATAATAAAGATTTTGGTAAAATTCAAGATTTTTTTTAATTTGACAAATGTATACAGTGTATAATGTACACGAAATTATACAACTTCATATATATTTATAGCAATACTGCAAATTTACTCTAAAATGATATGTATTTATAACCCATAAAATTTAAATCCTTAATTTCTGATATGTAATTTTGTTAATATAACATAATTCTATCAAACACATGTAAATTACAATCATAACTGAACAATAGTTTTGGTTTTCAATGATTTACTGAGTGCTTCTGAGACCTCCATGGCGATTATACAGCTCTCAGCTGTCACTAAAATATCTTCTTTTCCTGAAAAAAGTTGCATTATTAAAGAACAACAATATGACATACAATGTATATTAAGTAAACTGCAAATTCAAACTTTGCATCATAAATCGTTTCCTATTCAATATAATTATAATTGTGTAGTGTACAAAAAATTTACAAAGGATTTGATTGGTGACATGTAAAATGCATACGAAATTCTGCTTTTGGAAACAGGTGATCATTAAGGACCATGGGCCTCATGTATAGACATGTATCTACAGATAACAGACCTTGGACGGCGTCAATGAAGTGGTTTAATTCTGTAGGGAAGCTGTCAATGTAACGGTCTAGAAATGTCTGTAGGAGAGGCTCCGATTTACAGGACTCCTGGGTTACTGTATACAACTCGCTCGTCTTAATGTTCTGTGTCTGGATCAGGCCTCTGGTTCCCAACACCTACAAATACAAGCATATAGCGCTAAAACAAAAACGTTATCAAATCTAAATGTCTTCAACCTCCAATCCTCCAACCTTTTCTTTGATATTAATAAAGAAGTACCTATATATTCGGACGGAAGGATTACTAGGGACAGAAGGGTTACGCAATAGTGGAAACTCCAGGTGTTATATATAATTTTTTAATTGTTGAAAGAAATAATTACTTTTGTCACGTAATATATTTACCATGAAAAAGAGTCATTTTTGTTGAAAAAGATTCATCTTGCTTATATCATGTATATTATGAAACATTATACGTATCATATGGGGTATAATAATAATTCTCTGAATCGTAATTAACTTGTCATCTGTTTCTGGAGTTATAAATTACCTCGACTTTCTGCTCGTATCCAATATTTGCCTCCCTAGTGGCTTCCATCTGTGCCATCACTCCATTTGGAAAATTCAAAATGGCTGTCACAGAGTCAAAATCGTCAAACTTTTGATAAAGTGTGGAATTGTCTGAAGAAATGGAACCAAATGCACAGACGGACAAAGGTTTTTCTCCCACTAACCAGCAGATATAGTCGATATCATGGATGGCCATATCGAGGAAAATTCTACCTGACGGAAAACAGTGACAAAATATAATACAAGAAACAGAGAGAGAGAGAGGGGGGGGGGGGGGCTTTGATAAAAAAATTACTTACTAGTAAACATTTCAATATGAAAGTCATAGCTCGAACCAATTCAAGTTATTGGCAAGGTTAAAGTTTTTTTTTGTGACCAAACAGTTAGACAGACAGATGGATGGACAGTGCAAAAAGTAGATAAAACATAGGTAATCAGAGATTACAGAGCTCTCAACGAATGTTGTCTTTAAGTAAGACAAAATCACACAATTAACCAACATTCTAAAAGTGTAAATCAAAAAATGCAAAATTTATGCAATTTTGTTCTGATAGGGCTTACAGAGTTGCTTGGATATACCTATCCAAAAACATAAAACTAGTGGCCCATCAAGAAACAATTCAAATCCAACATCTGAAGCAAGTTTTTGAGAGTTTTCAACCCTTGATGCATCATGATCATTTGTGCAAATTTGGTTAATATGGGCCTTATAGTTTCTTGGTGATAGACCTGCATCCACAGGGACATCTTATCCACTCTGTTCTCTACTTCACTTATAAAAAATACATGTGAAGTAGAGAACAGAGTGGATATGATGCCCCTGTGCTGCATCCATAACCTTACCTGGTCCATTATCTGGAAAATGTATGTCGAATTCAGCATCCGAAGCAAGTCCATTAGTGAGCATCCTTATATGTATCATCAATGCAAGTTTAATTTGCTCAACATAGGGCTCATACTTACTTGGAAATGAAACCTGCATAAAAAACTAACCTTTTCACTCATCCAGAAAATGTAGTGTCAGATTCAACATCATAGTAATTTGAAACAAACCTGGTTGTATGCATCCTTAGATTTACCATCCATGCAAGTTTGATCATTAAAGGGCTCTACTTGGAAATGAGACTTGCACCAAAACATAAAACTGTTCACTCATCAGGAAAATGTAGGTCAAATTCAGCATCCAAAGCAAGCCTGGTAGTGTGCATCCCTAGACATATCATCCATGCAAGTTTGGTCAACATAAGGCATATAGTTACTTGGAAATGATCGAAATCCACCTCAAAAACTGCACCAAAAATTTTTAACTTGCTCCAAAAACATCAACCTGGTCATTCCTTTGCTGAAATTGAAGCATCTAATGCCTTGATTGGTATAATGAAACACTCTAGAAGCATCTTACACGCATGTCTAATCAATAAAGGGCATAGAAGTACTTAAAAAGAAAACTGCTCAGAAAAAAATTAACCTAAACCTGGGACGCCGACGGTACCAAATAAGCTCCCCCAACTTCGTTGAGGTGAGCTAAAAATAAAATAATTCAGAGAATTTGTGTCCCCCGCTTAGGGAAAGAGTAAACCATGCGCAGTTCGGGGAGGGGGGTTGTCGGATCCCCCTGACTTCAGTTGAAAAATTATTAAAGTATACATGTACACATACTGAAGCAAATAAAATATGCCAATATGGATATAAAGATTTGATTGCTTATTCTTTATTATGAGTATAGAAGATTCTTTTTTATATGGAATATTTATCACTCTGTGATGATGATTTTATGAGTTTGTAGAAGCCACACCTTATAAAATTTTCATTTTACATGCTGAATACTATCATTTAGTTAAAAAAAAAAAATCAGAAAAAAAAGTAAATGGATCGACCGAGATTTGAACCAGGGACCTCTCACACATGACGCGAGAGACATACCACTACGCCACGAAGCCTCTCTATTCCCACATGTTTATTTAAACTACTAATATATACAAAGATGAAGTCACATACATGTATATATTTTCAAAATTTGACACAATGCATTGTGTCTAATTTAACCTTTATTAAACAGTTCTAATAGATGTAATAAGAAGATAGAGTCCGCCGAGAACCTGTTTTATACGTAATAACTCTCCTCATGTCCCTGTGCTAAAAATAGCGACATGTAATACAATAAATACTTCTAAAACAAAAGGGGCAGGACACTTTGAGAGGGGTGAGAGAGGTCGTAGGGACTTTTGGTATAAAATTCAATTGCAAAAGCTCAAAATCTTCTTGAAATATCGCCCGAAAAAGAAAGTGTTACACACAGAAAGAATGTATATATTTACGACCTTGAACTTTGACCTTTTGACCTCAAAATCAATAGGGGTCTTCCTTAGGCCATAGAAAGTTGTTATGTAAAATTTCATGGCAAAAGCTCAAAGGGTTCTCGAGATATCGTGTGGAAACGAAAGTGTTATAACAGACAGAATTTGCGAATTTATGACCTTGAACTTTGACCCTTTGACCTCAAAATCAATAGGGGTCTTCTATTGTCCATAGGGAGTTGCTATGCAAAATTTTATTGCGAAAGCTCAAAGGGTTCTTGAGATATCGTGTGGAAACGAAAGCGTTACAGACAGACAGAAAGACGGACGGATTTATGCAACTTTGATCTGATAGACGGACAAACCCAAATTAATATCCCCCACTTTTCAAGCGGGGGACAAAAAAGAACGAGTCACAATATAAGAATTAGAATGTCTTTGGTAGCATTCACATTTCTTGTATGATACATGTATAGTCAAGACGAAGATTTCTAAACTTTACTTTTGTTGTTCTTTAGATATTCCTCGGTCTGTCCACCTTCCCTACTGGTAAATTTTACCACACGTATCTTTCCGATTTCACCTTTCTTGTAACGGCTGTACAGCTTATAAAACTGTTTGTCAAAACGTCTGGAAAAGAATAAAATCCAAGTAATGTTTGTATGTTGTTTAACGTCCTGGTCCCGCGCTCGAGAATTTTTCATTCATGGAGGCACCACCACCTGCCGGTGTAGAGCTGCAATTTTGTCCTATACTGGGCTCTTAGGTAATTAAAACACAATGATTCATAAAAATTGATACAAACTTAAATGTAATAAGCAAGTTATGGAAAATTTTGAACCTTTTAAGTGGAATTAGTAATTTAACCCTTTCGCGACGAAACAGAATAAACTGATAACTGAATTCGCCAATATAATGAATAAGTTCTTTATAAATAAAAAAGAAATATTCTGTTCACATTTAACAAATTTGCACGTCTTGGTTTACCTGTTGTAGGCGCAGAATAAAATTCTGTCATGGTTTCTCGCCACTTCGTAACACTCTTTTGAATCTAAAACTGTTAAAGTTAACGGCTTCTCGCACATCACATGCTTTCCTGTAATATTTAACAAAGTGTGTTTTTGAAATAATGATGCCCCCATATGGCGGTGAAGGTTAAACTTCTTAAATGCACGTCAGACCCCAAGTTCAAAAGATCAAAAATGGTGTTACCCTTGTGTCACTGCCATTGAAAATATCTGGAAAATATATGGAAGACCAAGCACCAGCCATTCTAAAGTTATGGTCAAGGTTTATACTTTTTTAAAAGTGTCGTCAAGGTCATGCAGATGGTCAAAATCAATTATAAACAAGGGGAGTCCTTGTCATTTTTTTTTCTAAAAATTATTGGCAAGGTAAATCTTTTTTGAAAGTGCGTCAATTCTAAGGTCAAGGTCAAATCTATTTACACCCTTGGAAAGGTTTTGTTATGATAAATATCGGTATAAGTTATGGTCAAGGTTTAAAGGCCGGTATACACGGTAAGATTTGTATTGTAAGATTTGTATTATAATACAAAATCTTACTGTGTATACACTCTTAATACAGTGTATCATAAGATTTTTCGAAACTTATAAAACTGTATTAAAAAAAGAGCAATGCTTTATTTCCTAATACAAGTCTTAACTCACCTTTCACTTTCAACCAATCAAATGTACTCACATTGGGGGTCATCCTATTTATATCACTACTAATTAAAGCACATGGTAAATAATAATGGCCGACTTTGCGAGTAAAATATCGAAAAACTCGTGGTTTTATGGGAAGGGGAAGAGGACTTGTGGAATATATCAGGCTGTAGCTACCACAAAAAAGATGCTAGTAGCAGAGCTTATCATTATCATTTTTATTATTTTGACAGAGAGAGAAATATGGCAGGAGAAAACATGTGGTTGTAATAGTTTATTTACAATCTTATAAGATATGTATTAGCGTGTGTACAAAAGTATTATAATACAAAAGTATTACAATACTTGTATTATACTACAAATCTCATCGTGTCTACCGGCCTTAAGTTAGGTATTTATTTTCACAAGTGGGCCAAAGTCCAAGGTCAAGAAGTCAATTTAGTTGGTAAAGGAGTTACATTAAGAATTACAGTATGAAATTCTATGCTTCAACCAATCAAAAGTTATGGTCATCTTTAAAGTTTCCGTGGCATATGTAGCTCTGTATGAATGTACATCTTACCTGCAGTTAAGGCCTTTTTTATGATATCGGAGTGAAATGGCGTTGGGGTACAAATTATAACGACATCAACCCTGTTAATGTAATCAAATTATAGTAAAAGTAAACAAGAAACATGGGAATGCTATTTTTCTGTCTAAAGAATGAAATGTTTGTCTGAATATATTAAATCTAATATATATATAGCTCATCAGCTCTCGTTCTTGATGGAAACTTGCAAAAGGCCCATGGGCCTTGAAGGTCACCCGTGTGTCTAAATCACTTACAATTACAAGAGCCATTGGATTTATGAGGAAGATACACTATAAAATGTATCTTCTTTAATCATTGACATATTCTTTCAGCATTTCTTTTATCATTTTTTGTTAAGTGTCTTAATTATTAAGAAACCCAGGCTATATAATGTTACCACGAACGAATTTCATACTATATCTTTCGAGACCTGAATGAATCAAACTTGTATACGATTAAAAAATACAATTTTTTTTAATCCTGTGGTAAGACATTTTTAAATCGTTGATCTGATTTAACCCAGAATTAACAATGATACCATTTAAATAAGAAGTAATAAATTATGAGGCTAGTGTGCCTTTAACACCTGTTCAACCTCAAAAACGTTGACCTGTCCAAAAGTGCAAAAATGGCCCAATACAAATGCATTACCTGGGGTCTTCGAACACCTTTTGACTGGCCTTGATGTCGATCACCTGAGCCTCCCCCTGTAACCTATGTTTCCCTATCAGTTCAGTCATCACTCCATGCTGTGCTGGTACGTCCACTAACCATCTGATGGTCAGTCTCCCACTGTCCACCATGTTCTTTAGGTGGACCTGTCCGATCCTCCCCACTCCAAATAGAGCAGCACCGAGTCTCCGGCTTCCCTCCATCTGGAATTTATAGTTTGTAGTGTGGTGTCGGGTAAAGTAACAAGTATCCCCTTAGTTTTGATGAGAACAATCTCGTACGAATCAAGTTAAATCGTAAATGGAAAGAAAAATCTCGCTATTACGAGAAAAGAAATAATTAAAGGGATAGACTTTGCCTTTGCTAGAATCATCTCGTAATTTCGAGAAAGATAATTTAATGATGAGTGAAGACCCCAGAGAGCTTAGATATAAAATAAGATATCGTTATTTTGTCAAGAAAATTAAAGAAACAAACAGAATTTACACAAAGAAATCACTGAAATTTTGTTTATCCTTACAAGTTTATACTATAATGTGCATTAATTAAAGACCTACCTTGGTCATACATTGTAACTTTTAAATAGTTGGCAAGGGGTTTCGACTTTCACAGACCTGTATATTTTTTGTGAGAAGAATTTCCTTTAGATACTTTAGTTGACGTTGGAGATTGACCTACTTAAAAAAATTAAACTTCTACATAACTCTTGAACAGTTGGTGCTATGGCTTCTATATTTTGCATGTGTATTTCTTATGACAAGGTCTTCACCTGTGTACCATTAATTTTAACCTTTTGACCTTGGAGTTTGACTCAATTTTAGAAAACATTAACCTTGACCATAACTTTTGAATGGTTGATACTTGGACTGTCTTATTATTTACCAGGTGTATTCAATGACACAAGCCCTTACTTTGGGTAACATTTTGTTCTTCTGGCCCTGGAATTTTACTGGCGCATTTACGAAACTTTAACCTTCGCAATGAGCTACCTGCATATGGGTCATCAGTGTTGTAAAAACACATCTTGTAGTCTTTTCAGTTTTAATAGTTTTACTTAAATGTTGTACCCACTACAAAATGATGAGCTGCAATAACAGTGTTATGATTTGATTAGTAGATACTATAGTAATGCATTGTTGTTGTTTTTTTAAACAAAACAATAAAACATTTTTTTTCTGAGTTCACAACAATTATATGTACCTTGTAATCAGGACTGATCATCCAAGAACATATCCGTCCAGCTTACAAATATATACACATATTAAAGAGACATGCATTGTAATGTGAATATCCGGTACAAGATTATGTAAGCGGAATAAACACGTTTAAACACGCATTCTCAGTTTATAGTTCCAAATCGACTTTGGGAAAAGTCAAAACATTTTGTGAACTGAAACTAAAATTTTTATATGTCATTTGAAACATGAAAGTGTATAGTTATTAAAAATTACAATTTGATTTACATACTTCATGCTGTGTTTTGTTGACCTCCTTCGAAATTAAAGCGCTTGGAGGGCTAATTTTACACCAAGATATTTACGTGATGTTGAAAAGCCATATTTGGAAACGAAAGAATTTTTTTGAAAAATACAAAATTAAGATAATACACATCGAATTTTGTTAACTATAAACATTTATGAAACCGTTTAAGCACATTTGTAAAAGGGGTGTAAAATCTTTGATTCAATTATTAGTAAAAACAAAACAGGCATAATTTTCATTTAAATGAAATTATTTTCTTTTTATTACAAAAGGTTTTTATCAAATCTGACGATAAGCTAAATAATGACAATATTACCTAAAATGCTTCATTATTTGATTCTTTATTAATCTATTTTGAGAAACGCACATTATTTAAAATATCAGAAGGTAAAATATTTCGCCATTACCTGATTACGAAGTGTTTGCTAAATATCACGTAAATATCGCGCCTGTTTACTCCGCAACAAAATGTAGTGCGTTGCATACGTAAAGTGAAAATAGAATAAATCGTAATACTGTGAAGCCTTTTCAGTGTAAAAAAAACAACAGAAAATTTATTTTTGTAAAGGAATAACCATCTGATGGGTATTAGAAAACAAAGAGGGGGAGGGGGGTTGCTGAGCAACATTACCTGCAATATTATAAGATATGTGATTTATAAGATTTAACATTTATGGATTATGTTGGGTGACCTGTGGTCTCCCCTATGATTTTATTATTCCATGTAAAATTATAGTATCTATAAAACACAGTGCCTAACCTCTGATCTCGTTACTAATAGTAAGCGACTCAGAGTAAACGACGTCCAGTCTCTGCATTCGCAGATCTCTAACAAGCAGGGGAGACGAAGATTTTGCCCCCTACCACCCCATTCCTTTTCATTTCGCTCGAACTTTTCACCAATCCTGTAACATAATGGAATAATTATTTGTTAATAAATTATTTAATACCTCCTTTGTCTTCCTTATGAGGTCATGCTTCAATAGGCAACCTCATCAGTAGGAGGACCAGAGGACACCTTATATTGCACTTTACATTAGAAGGGGGAACAAAAGTTATATTCTAAATCAGTAGGGGGACCAGTGGTCATCTTATTTGTACATCAGTAGGGGGACCAGAGGACACCTTATATTGTACATCAGTAGGGGGGCCAGAGATCACCTTATATTGTACATAAGTAGGGGGACCAGAGGACACTTTATATTGTACATCAGTAGGGGGACCAAGTGTCACCTTATATTGTACATCAGTAGGGGGACCAGAGGACAACTTATATTGTACCTCAGTAGGGGACATCAGTAGGGGGACCTGAGGTCACCTTAAATTGAACATCGATAAGGAGACCAGAGGTCACCTTATATTGTACATCAGTAGGGGGACCAGAGGTCACCTTATATTGTACATCATTAGGGAGACCAGAGGACACTTTATATCGTACATAGGTAGGGGGACCAGGGGTCACCTTATATTGTACATCAGTAGGGGGACCAGAGGTCACCTTATATTGTACATCAGTAGGGGGACCTGAGGACACCTTATATTGTACATCAGTAGGGGGACCAGGGGTCACCTTATATTGAACATCAGCAGGGGGACCAGAGGTCACCTTATATTGTACATCAGTAGCGGGAATAGAGGACACCTTATATTTTATATCAGTAAGAGGACCAGGGGTAACGTTATTTTGTACACCAATAGGAGGACCAGAGGTAACCTTATATTGTACATCAGTTGGGGGACCAGGAGACATCTTATATTGTATATCAGTAGGGGGACCAAAGGACACCTTAAATTGTACATCAGTAGGGGGACCAGAGGTCACCTTATATTGTACAGCAGTAGGGGACATCAGTAGGGGGACCAGAGGACACCTTATATTGTACATTAGTAGGGGGACCAGAGGTAACCTTATATTGTACATTAGTATGGGGAGCAGAGGACACCTTATATTATACATCAGTAGGGGGACCAGGGGTCACCTTAAATTGTACATCAGTAGGGGGACCAGGGGACGCTTCATATTGTACATCAGTAGGGGGACCAGAGGTCACCTTATATTGTACATCAATAGGGGGACCAGAGGTAACCTTATATCGTACATTGGTAGGGAGACCAAGGGTCACCTTATATTGTACATCAGTAGGGGGACCAGAGGACACCTTATATTGTACATTAGTAGGGGGACCAGAGGACACCTTATTTTGTACATCAGTAGGGTGACCAGAGGTCACCTTATATTTTATATCAGTAGGGGGACAGAGCCATCAGGTTAGTTTTAACGTTCGTCACTAAATGTTTTTGGAATAAGATTGGTCCTCTCTTTTACGATGTAATATTAACTATATTTGAAAAAGACGAATTACCATATTCTCAGCGATTGGCACTTATCACTCTTTTATTTAAAAAGGGCGACAAGAATAATCTTAAAAACTATAGACCATTGAGTTTAACAAATACCGATTACAAGATTATAGCTTTTGTTCTAGCCAAAAAATTACAAAGCGTCATAGATAAATTAATTAGTAATGAACAATCAGCATATATCAAAGGTCGTTACATAGGTATTAATGCAAGATTGATTTTAGACATTTATGAATATTGCATGGATAATGAAAAAGACGGAATATTACTATTTTTAGATTTTGAAAAAGCTTTTGATTCAGTCGAGTGGAATTTTCTTTTTCAAGTTCTAAAAAAATTTAACTTCGGTGATAATTTTCTTCAATGGATCCAAATTCTATATAATAAACCAATATTCAGAATTAAAAATAATGGTTGGATTTCTAAAACATGTAGCATGAATAGAGGTATCAGACAAGGATGTCCTATTTCAGCTCTATTGTATCTATTTGTGGCAGAAATACTGGCCTTAAAAATTAAAAATAACAATGAAATACAGGGTATTAATGTTTTAAACATGAAAAGGGATATTAAAAATATTCAGCATGCAGACGATATCACACTGGCTTTAAAAGATATATCTTCTTTGAATGTTGCAGTTAAGACTGTTAATGATTTTTGTAAACACGCTGGTTCAAAGGTCAATATAAGCAAAACACAATGTATATTATTGGGCAGTCTAAAAGATAAATACACTAACATAGACGGCATACATGTAACAAATGATGCTGTTCGATGTTTAGGTATACACATTGGCCATAATAAAATTCAATGTTATGAATTGAACTGGCTAAAGACTTTTCAAAACATGGAAAAACTCTTTGAATCGTGGAAAAAAAGAAAATTGACTATTTTTGGGAAATCATGTGTCGTTAACTCTTTAGCTACGTCAAAAGTTATATACATGGGTTCAATATTACCAATGCCCGATCCCGAACATATTCGACAAATTAAGAGAAGCATATTTAACTTCATATGGAATAAGCGCGATAGAATTAAAAGAGATACTGTGATCGGAAAACAAGAAGATGGAGGTATAGGTGTGATAGATATTGAATTGAAATTCAAGGCCTTAAAGGCGGCATGGGCTAGATACTTGATAGATAAAAAGTGTATAATAGGCGAAATAATAAGAGGATATTTAAATAGTCTTAATATTGATATCAACTATCTATTATCATTATCGGAGACAAAATCCCCAGACTTTAAAATCATTTCAAACATGTCGGTTTTTTATAAAGAAGTATTTTGCAGTTTTAATGATTGTAAAAGATACATCGATGAAACTAAATTGTCTAATGTAAGTTTTGCTCAGCAACCAATATGGAATAATAATATGTTTAAATATGAAAACAAAACAATATGTTTTAAAAATTGGATCAAAAGTGGGATAACACATGTTAAAGACCTTTTTAATAAAAATGGAAAATTTAAAACTCTACAAGAATTGTCCGATGATTTAAAACAAAAATCAAATTGGATGTGTGAATACAAAATATTAAAAACAGCGATCTATAAAAAATCTTTAAGATTCAATATGACTTGCTGTGCATACATACAGAATATAGGGGAGCGTTATTTTGATTTTGTAAATGGTGTATATTGTATTGAAGATAAAAAATGTAATTTTTTTTACGATAATTTACTCTGTAAGAAATTTAAAGCCCCAAGCCATCAATTAATGTATAAAAAATTATTTTCTGTTGCTCAAGAGAGTTGGAAGGATATATATAGAAATAAGGTTAAAGACATCTATGACAAAAGAATATGTGAATTTAACTATAAATTGTTGAAATAATATATTGTGTTGTAACAGTTTTCTTTTTAAATGCAAATATAGAACTTCTGCTTTATGTAATATGTGTGATGAAATTGAAGATATTAAACATTTACTTTTTGATTGTGATCATGTTCATATACTATGGAAAAATCTGAGTTCTGTGTTAAATTTTGATGTACAGTGGAAACATGTCGTCCTAGGTTTTTATTTTGAACGGAATTCCAAAATACAATTTTTATACTTTTGTTTCTTTTTTAGCATACAAGATATATAAATTTAAAATGTTTTGTAGAGTTCAGAACAAAACTGAAACAGAAGATTTGTTATACTCCTATGTAAAAACAAATATTATAAACAGTATGAACATTTTACTGAATTCAACAAAAACTCACATGTATAAAAATAAGATGGTGACATTTGTAGAAATGCTTTAACTAAATATATGTTACTCTATTTTTTTGTTATACTAACTATCCTGGCCCGGGTTAGTTAGGAATTGTAAACGGTTTGTTTGCATAATGATTAATAAAATTATTAAAATTAAAAAAAAAAAAAAAAAAAAAATAAAATAAAAATAAAAAAAAACGTTCGTCACTAGGTGGTCCAGAGGTTAACTAATATTGTACATCAAT